TGCTAATTAGCATAGCCATTTTAGGACAAGACACCATAATTAAATGCTGTAATTGAGCGATATTGATGGTCATTCTGATTGCCCCTCCTACTCCTTTAACAAGTTTTTTATTTCACTATCAAATTAACCATTAATCCAACTATTTGAATTTGACACTTAAGACTTATTATCGCTAATAACATTACACTATTTGCTAGATACACCATATTTTAATTCTACTTTTTCACAGTGTGAACAATCTACACACGGCCTTCTCGATGAACTATCCGCATTTGAATGTTTTAATCCAGGCCTATGCACAATTTCATAGTCGAAAGTTCGTTATACTTCCAACCATCGTGCCAATTGCCCCTCTATATCCTTGAACTTAGTAATCCAGCGCAATGAACTATGATATGTTCGAATAGTACATTTCCTTCCATAAAGATAGCAATGAAAGTGTTTGATGCTGCTCATCACCGTTAGAAGTTCCTTACTTGTAGTACAGTAATTAATTTCGGATTTAGATAACGCTCGACTGTAAAACGTAATAACCTTTTCATGACCATTTTGAACTTGCAAAATCACTGCTCCTAACGCAGAATTACTACAGTCAGTGTCAAGTATGAATTCCAAACCAGATGGATCCGGATACGCTAAATTTGGCGGGACTAGAAAGTTTTGATTTCATAATATTGAACGTTTCTTCGCATAGATCTGTCCATTCAAACAATGTCTGCTTTTCGGTAAGCTTGTTCAATGGCCGTGCATATTTTAAGAAACCAAAGATAAATCATCGGTAATACGAGCATAATCCATGAAAAGCCCGTACTTCTTTCACTGTTGTCGGTATAGGCCAATTACGGATGGCCTCAATCTTTGACGGATCAGCGCGAATACCATCTTTAGAAACAACATGTCCCAAGTAGTTAACGCTCTTTTGAAACAAAGTAAATTTATTCGGATTAAGTTTTAATCCTGCCATACGCAAACGGTCAAACACTTCTTGAAATTTCTGTAGTGTAGATTCTAATTCCGTTCCGAAAACAATAATATCATCTAAGTATACTAAGCAAGTTTTCCATGATAGGCCTTTTAAAACTTTGTCCATTAGTCTCTCAAACGTTGTAGGTGCGTTACAAAGACCCATTTGGCATTACTTTAAACTGGTATAGTCCATCCATTTTCTGTCACAAAGGCAGTTTTCTTACGGTCGTTTTCATCACACTTTACTTGAAAATATCCACTTTGAAGATCAAGTACATGGAACCATTCTGCTCCGACAACGCATCTAGTTTATCATTTATACGAGAAACCGGAAATGAATCTTTCTTTGTGATATCATTGAGCTTGCGATAGTCTAAACAAATCCGCATGGAACCATCTTTCTTTCTTACAAGGACTAGGAGTGCTGACCATGGACTCTCGGACGGTTCAATGAGGTCACTGTACAACATTTTATCAATCTGAGAAGCTAGTTCAGATCTTTGAGCAAATGGCAATCGACGCGGTTTTTGACGAATCGGGTCTGTATCAATTTTATGCGTTACAATACCGGTACGTCCTATGTCCCACTTATCTTTGGCAAATACACTTTGATTCATCAAAAGTAAGGTTCTGAGTGTTTCTCCCTGGTTTTCATTTAAATGTACACATGAGCTCGTATATAAACTAGATAAATGTTCAGGAATATCTTCTGTTGACGATTCTTGAGAACAAACTGACTCGTTAAGTATAGCTACTGCTTCAAATGTCGCTGCAATTGAATTTGCATACACTTTAACAGACTTATCTGTTGCGTTCAATACTCGTATCGGAAAACATCTGATGATAAATTAACTACTGTTTTAGCCAACAGGAGCTGATGTTTCTCCACAAATTTTTCGAAGCTACTAACATGCTACATTCTGGAGCATAGCCAATATCAATAACTTTCCCCAGAATAATCTGCTCGACACCCGGCGGAATAAATATTGTCTCTGACACAGCAACTCGACAACATCGCTCACCCTGTGTATTTAATACTGCACAAGATATATGTTCTTTGTTAACAGTCATTGTATTGTTGGCCACATCAATGCAACACATATTTTGTTTCATGAAGTCAATACCGATAATACAGTCTATATCTTAATATATATCATGTATATCAGCTACCCACACATCGTGTGTGAGAAGTGTCCTCCCAATTTCAACGTTCATTTCACATATTCCTCTTACTTTAGCTGCTTTACCGTCGGCAAGTTTCATGTTTGTATGTGTTGGACGCAACACCACTTTGTTTCCATCGGACAGAGAATCGTATATCTTATCGTTCAAAATTGTCACATTTTCACCTGTATCTACTAAACATTGAACTTTGTACTTTGAAATTTACCAGGAATATACATTCCTCCATCGCCACTTGCTACACGATTGGTTCTAACTATGTCTTTTTGTTGAGAGTTTGTGTTAATTTTGTCATCATTAGGACAATTTCTTCTAATATGACCTGTCTCTCCACAAGTCCAACATCTTCTTTTTCCCGGCTTGTTGTTATTGTTATTAAATCCGCGTCTCTGTTGACTCATACCGCTCTTAAGAAACTGAAACTCACGTCGAAGTTCTTCTACCACATCAGATAGTGTTTTAATTTGACCAGACACTTCTGAACTTTCCGAAATAGCAAAATTTCGAACACTTGAAGATTTGTCCCTCTGTTTATCCGCAATATAAAATGCCTCGAGCTCAACAGTTTACTTAACTGCATCACCTAGTGTCTTTGGGTGAGCTTGATGTATACGCAAACGTGTATCCGTATCATCTAATGCATTAATGAAATGATCTCGACTCAACATCTCTTGTAGTTCCAGTTGAGCTTTGGAATATGCTTTAGTTTCTTGATATGTTGCGCCAATTCAGGCAATTTTTTATCTTTTCTTTTACGGATATTCTTAAGCTGCACACGGAAAAGCTCTGTTCTGCTTTCGGTTCCAAATCTACTAGTTAATGCTGCACATATCGATGTATAATCTTTATGCTTTATCGGATCAATATCGGCTAAATCATTTTGCGCATTCCCGCTTAGACTTGTCGCAAGAAACATTGCTTTCTGGTCATCCGTCTAACAATTTAATTCGGATATCATTTCAAACTGAATTTTATAATCTTCCCAAGAAACAGAACCATCATATTCAGAGGGTCGGACAACTGGCTTTTCAGATCCCATGCGTTTAGGTGAATGCTATCCTTGATTATGAGAAGGTTGGAACACAGATGGAATTGATGATCTTCTCGGGGTCGGAGCACTTGAAATTCCTTCCTGAAGAGTTTCATACTCTTTAGCTAAACGCTGAATTTCTCTTTGGGTTTCAATCATTCTAGGCGTTGAAGCTGATAACACAGTTGAACTTAATCCTATTCCTTTATCCATTGATACTTTAGGTCTTGCACCTCCGAAATAAATTTCTCTATCAGAAGAATCACGTTTATCCATTTTTATAACAATTTAATTTCATTTACTTTATTTATGCACAAGAGATATTTTATTCCATTTGCAATAATCCTCTCACACAAAATTATCTGATTATTACTATAAATCCACAGAATATAATTTGCGAAAATACATTGTTAAATTTCAAATAGCACATCAATTCTTATAATAGAAATAAACTAATCCATGTTAATAATATCCCAACGCTGCCACCAAAAATTGTAACGTGACCGAAGGGAGGAACGACAACGACACAGACGGACGGACATAACCCAGCAAACATAAAAACATCTTTAAAATGTTTTTAAAATGTTGTGTCTAATGTCATGAAAATATCACAAAAAAACCTGAGAAAAACATTAAATGTATGGTAGAATATATATCCCTAAAACGTTTTCTAATATATTTTCTAAAATATTTGCATAATATAATTAAAATGTTGTAAAGAAATATCATGATAATGTGAAAAACAATGGCGTATAAAACATTTTGATAATCTTTTAAAAAATATTTTCTAGAAATATTTTCTGAACGTTTGAAAAACATCATGAACATCAAATAATGTTATAAAAATGTTTTTTGGATGTTTTCTTGCAAGTGAGACTGTGGCTTAAAAATGTTTTCAAAATGTTTTAAGAAGATGTTTTCGGTGGATATCTAGATCATATCAATATAAAAATTTCTGTACTTTTGATTGAGTTTCCTGCTTTTTTAAATAACAAATCATTAGTTAAATTAATTTATACACAGTGATTAATTCTATATACAAACAAGAATAAATCAGTTGTTTTGCTAAGCATATGAAATTCACAATTCAAAGTCTCTAAAAACAAGAAGTATCTACAAATTTTGACACATCCAAAATGGCAGACACAACTCATCATGGTCAAGCCACTTACAAATGTACCAAATATGAAATCATTCTGTTCATCAGCATTACTAATTTAAGTAATGAAAAATTTGAGAACATTCAACATTATGAAATACAATGTATAAGCAAACAGGAAACAGGTGCCAGATATAAAAATGTTCACACATCACAGTTCATCACTATCAAGCAGCTCATTAAATATGAACTCATCTTTATCAGCAGTTTTGGGAAAAACAGTAATGAAAATATTTGTTGGACAAAATCCGACAAATATAGGTGGACAGACGACAGACATTGCAAGAAAGCCCACATTCCAACCACAATGGTATAATGTTTAGTTTTTCACTCTCAACTTTTATTACCTATCTTATACACATCATGTATATGTCAACCTGAACATGCATGACATATATGCCATTGGACATTATGCAAACATTATACACATTTTAAGTTCAAGTTACATTGACTAAAACTTGTGTCCCAAATTCAGATTTTTCAATACAACTTCACTTTCTAAACTAAAACGCTACACTTCTAATAGGGTTACATCTTAAGTCAATAATCATTGATAATTGGCTGAAGAGATGAGAACAAAACACCATTTTACATCAACTATTTGATTTATTTAAGAATACATTGAAAAAGTCAATCAATTGTCTTATTCATAATCACTTGGAAGTCTTGTAGTGTCTTATATCTTTTTCTTGCTGTGCCATGCTTCTGAAAAAAAATTAATCTTACATTCATATATAAACTTCTTGCACATTCCTTTATTATAGAACGATTCACGTTGCCTGAAGGATATACATCCCCTCCCCTTTAAAGTTTTGAAACAAATAACGATGATAGTCTGTCGGAAGGGGACGATAAATGGCTGACCGTGTTAAGAGAGAGCAATATGCCACGCTGAACTTAATTTAGTTATTAAAAAAAAAAAAAAAAAAAATTTAGACTAGATATGTGTCCAGTCAAGAGTCTTATTTCATTATACTCATTGATTGTTGTCTATCATATTTTTTTTCTTTTATTGTTTTGTATAAATCAGGCTGTTGTTTTTCTTGTTTTTTTTTTTAGTTTTCATTAAATGCTTTGTATCATGTAGGGGCCTTTAAAAGCCCTGCTACATAATGTCATTAAACATCTTATTGTCCTTTTTAAGTGTTAAACTCTGTAGAGTGACATAGTTTATAACTTGTCATTTGTATCTAAGGGCATATGATACAGTCCTAGAAGTATACTATAGGCACATAATAACTTATCGAAGTGTTAAGCATTGTTTTCGCAATGATGATAATAATATAACTTAACATCCGAGAAACACACAGATGTCATTAAATGAGTTGTTTATATGTATTTGAAATACTTCAAAGGAAAGCAAATATGTTGTTTATGAAAGCACACTGTTGGACTAAAAGATTGATTTAAATAAACAACTTGTTTCTATTTTGTCACAAAAATAATAATTTATTCAAATATCCAGATATCTTTTCTGTATTGTATGCCCTTAATCTTGAATGTAATGCATTGTTTATGCTAAATATTTGAATTAAATATGGAATAACAGTAATTCTGTATAAAAATCTTACTTCAAAAAAAAATTCTCCTGAAAGGTTGTAGACATTCCAAAGAACCTGTGCCACTTCCAAATTGTAAACCTGCATATTGAACTTGTCCTTTGTGGCTTTTCTTTTAGCTCCTGTTAAAAAATAAAAGATACATTGTATGTACATTATGTGTATGAAGCAATAAATATAATTTTTAGCAACAGTTTATATTATCTTGCTTGTACTGAAGTCTTACATAGTCTTTGTAATGTTCATTAAGCTGTTAAGGGAAATTTAGTTTACTGTTTTGCAAATACATACATACATTGATTTTACTAGAAAAAAAATCTCCATATTCAAATGGTGCTTATATTAGTGTTATTGTAACTTGTTTGTGTGCCTCGGAAACAAGGTATTGAGTCATGCTTATTGCAATAGTTGTTGTTAGTTTAAGTCTGTCAAATTTCTTTTTCATAATGTGTATTTAATGTAGGCAGTTAGTTGTTTTGTTTCAATTGTGTTGAGAAAAAATTAACATTTGTTTGTCAAGGCTTCAAAGTGGACTATATGGCATTGGTTTTCTCAGTTTTGAAAGCAGTACAGTGACCTATAATTTCTTTTATCCAAGTCATTTAAATTCTGGTGGATAGCTGTCTCATACACCTTATCGCTATATCAGTATTTGGAAATCTGTCCCGCTTGAACTTTTTACGTCAGCATACGGCCCGAGAACACAGTTATTTCGTAGTGCATTTCTTTTAGACAATAAATTCAAATTAAAAAAAATCGCACCAGCTCTATCTCAAAAAGATTTTTACAGTGTAGTGTACTACTATTGGTACAAATAATATCAAAATTATAGAAAAGTCTACCAGCTCTAACTCAAAATATTGACAATTCTATGTTAAGGGGGTCTAAAATTCAGTTTTGACAGCTTCAGACATACTAGTTTTTGACCTTTTTGAACTGGACCAAATCACTACTTAACATAAAGATTCAGCACCCAAACTTTTTTTAACATGTAATTTCATCCCTTTACTTAATATTTCATGCATAAAATATAAAGAAATAAATTTGGAAAGTGTATGAAAAAAATTGCAAGTTATACACTGTCCACACTAGGGACTATATTTGTAGACAACGAAAATATAAGGACGATAACTGTGTCCTCAGACCGAACGTCATACAATAATACACCTTATCGCTATTCCCGCTTGACCCGAGAATCTATCCTGCTTGAACTTTTGACGTCAAACAACAATCACTTTTCCATTGTGGCATCAGATTTTTTTTATGATGACATCAAAATTTTAAGGGAACTTGTGACAGTTGTGTGATGTCCAGTAATGGGGGACAAATAGCAATAACACTGAATAAGGTGTATTACTTTCAATTGTGGTGTCAAATATATTCTAATATGATGACAACATTTTACGGGAACTTTTGTGATGTCCATGGCCAGTAATGGCGGACAAATAGTGATAAGGTGTATTGCCATTGGCAATCAAACACACAAGCCACATATCCTTATAATTTTTTTATATCAATGAACAAATTCATAATTGGTGTACGTAGATGCTTGAACAGTGGCGGATTTAGGGGCCCGACCCCCTTATGGAGCTACTTGTAAGATAAATGTATAGACTATTTACAAGTATCACTCCAAACGTTTGCTTGCCTTGGGCAGGGGCCCCCTTTTTTCAAAACCTTGATCCGCACCTCCAGAAACATATGTAATTTGGTTCCGATTATGATTGAACACACACAATGAATGCACAAGTTTCATCTTAACATATTAACCATTCTTACCAAGTGAGTATATATCGCGTAACAAACAATTTTCTTGGCTCTCTTTGTTGATATCCTGTCTTCGTTTCGAAATTCAAATTTCAAATTCATTTCCGGTGATAAAACAAAAGTCGATTCCGGAAAAGGTCGGTTTTCCGTAAGGCATATAAACGATACGAAAATTGAACTTAGTACAGTTACAGTTTTCATTTCTTAATTTATAAAATATACACGAATGAAATGAATAAACATTAAAGAAAGGTGATTGTTTATTAAATACATTATTGCTTAATTTAATGTTGACTCTTTTGAGTTTTAATATAAGAAGGAATAAATCTGACTTCAAGGATCTTCAAGATATCAATTAAGGATTTCAACCATAGTATCTTGCTTGTCATGATATTGATGAAATGTAGTACTATATCTTATCCTGAAAAAAACGAGCTATTTCCACAAAATGTTGTTTGTGGGGTTTTGAATAAAGTTTGAATGAAATGTTATTTTTATATCCGTAAAATGTTGAATAAAATATCAGTAAGACTATTAAGTAAATGTGTATGTCAGAATATTTTATAGAAAACATTTAGCTGACATTTTTCAGATGTTTTATGTAAAACATTTTAATTTTACGTTATAAAACATTTTATGCAAATAGCAAAACTATATTTTCTGTAAAACATTTTTTTGCAGAATGTTTTTTGGATATTTGGAAAATATTTACTTTAAATGTTGTTAAAATATAAAATACCAATTGAAGAAAATATTATTTTTTTATATTATAAAATATCTACGGGATATTTTAGAACAATGTTTGAGAACATGAATAAAAAGATATTAGCAAATAATATTTTGTTAATGTTGTAAAAACATTTCACTTAAATGTTAGAAATAAAACATTTCAAAAACAATAAAATAAACATTTTTTTTATGTTTAAATGATATCTTATTGAAATATTTTGTGAGAGACGTCCATATGACATTTAAAAAATGTTTTTAAAATGTTGTGTGTTTGCTGGGAACCATACTATGGCATTAAAAATGTATCCTGTGGTATATCCCATGAACTAAATAATACGATATATATTTACAAGTTTATTCACAAATGTATATTACTTCAGACTAATTGACAAATTAACTACAAAGTTTAAACATATAAACTTTAAATACAAGTCCTCCAGAATCTTAACTGATTCAAGACTTTTAGGAAAATCACATCCTTACAGTATCACAGCTGATACACAATCTGCAAGTATCTTGACCAACTGACCTTTATCAGAAAGTTTAATTACTTTCACTTACAGTTCAACTGCAGATAATAAAACTAGCCATTTGTCAAATTAGCCTTGCGTCATTAATTTTCTCTGTACACAAATAAACAGTTATAAAACCAATTTAACCAGAGGTCAATATTTACAAAACATTAAAATATTGCAATACACTGTCTTATTGTAATACACCTTCATGCCAAATGTCATAAGCCAGTGTCAAAATATAAAAAAAGTTTTGATGTTAAAAAAACACGGATTATAGGGAAAAATATGTGAAAATTACACATTTTTATTCCATTGCCATGGTAACGGTGTTGATATTTTTAGCAAGTATCCAAAAAATGCCTAAGATTACCTTTTAGACCTTGTAAGCCTCAAAATATAGCGATACTCAAACTATAACATATTGTCAAGTTTTGAAGGACGAATAATGCTCGTACTAAAAATCAATTCAAATACCAGCTCAACATAACCATATCTAGCATATTCAGAGCAACAAAAATGTGACATTTTAATAGAAATTTTTGGAAATTAAGCCTTTTCCAGTAGATGGCGCTGCAAAATCTAAAAATAGCCTCAGATCAAATTTTAAAGTTATGTGCAAAATTTCATAACATTTGGTTGACATGTCATGTGGACCCACTAAAAAGCTTTTTGCATGGTTCTATCAAAGACTGGATGTTAAAGTATCAAAAACATGATTTTTTTTTTTACAGTACATTTTCTTCCGTATACTTTCTATTTGTGCATTGTAATCAAATCGAACAAATATTTTGTATGCAAACATTCTAATGATTATAAACACAACCTCACCATATATTCCATATAATTTTATGTGTAAAATAGGAACAGCCGATAATGCTAACACAGTTATACAAATTCCTTATAGTCTAACGGATTTTAAGGGTTACCAGTATTGTATTTGAATAAGATTAACTTTTTTCAATGGTACTTTATTATATGAGAACACGTTTTGACTATATTTTCTTCGATATAGTTTTTCGTTTGTTTTAGTATCTGAAATTTTAAATAAAAATTGATAATTTTACCTTTTTTGTTAATTTGTTTAAGGAAAGTAACTATTGAAAGTGTGTTTTTTTTTATCAAATTCAAATGGTACTTGGCAGAATTTATTACTAGCAGAACTAAAACAGTTATATGGGATATACATTTCATAACTCATTCAGTATTCAAGAGCTTGCAGCTGCTACTCAGACTTTATAAAACGTCACCAGTGTCTGAGAAGAAAGTTGATAAGCCAAGGTTATGTCAAAGAACGTCTCGTCCTTTTCTAAAACAGTTTATTAGAAGATACCAAGACCTTGTTGATTAATATTCCGTATCAACTTCACGAATAATACATGATGGTCTTGAAGTATAGATTCTAGGTACTGACGTTTTTTTATCATCCTAATTACGTGTTATAGTGTTCTTTTTATTTGTCCTTTAACCTTTACTGTTTATTCCTTTTTTGGTAATATACTTTTGGCGTGGCTCGGTACTTATACATCCCGCCATTGTGTTATTGTGATATGGTAAATTTTGTATTCTTGTCTTTCATTGTTTTGCTTATGTACTTGGTCTATAGAGTGTCTATATGCCAGTTTGTTTTTTCTTTGTTGAAATAGTTATTTGTTTTTATAGTGATTAAGAGTATATTACAATGTTGACTGCTGTACCCCAATTTTTGACATTTTTACCTATTATGTCTATTTGTTTTGCTCACACATTGTTGTCAATATAATCGAATTCTATATAACTGTCAAATGAGAGGTTTAGCTAGCTCTAAAACCAGGTCTAATCCACCATTTTCTACATAAGAAAATGCATGTACCAGGAATATGACAGTTGTTTTCCGTTCATTTGATGTGTTTTAGCTTTTGATTTTGCCATTTGATAAGGGACTTTCCGTTTTTCTTTTTAATATAATATGATACACATTCGATCCAAAACCCCAACCGAACCTGTTTGTCAAATAAAACAGACCTGTATTGTTGAATGTCAGTTGAGCTACAGTTCTGGCAATTTGTATTATAGTAAACAGTTATTGATTGGTTTTATATTTAGGATTTAGGACCACAAAATTACACAGGACCAGCTGCAGTCGCTAGATCAGTTAATTTAGTGTATAAAAATATTTCAAGATCATCACAGTTCAAAATATTAGACGTTGCTGCAGAAAGTGGTCGTGTTGCTGAAGAAGAAAGTGTTTCAAAATATCTTCATTATATCTTAAATGCATCCTATCCTATTTTTGCAATAATGGAACAATGTTTTATACAATCCGTCATGCCTTACCTGATAGCAATACTCTCTGTTGCACAACAATATAAAATAAGGAGATGTGGTATGATTGCCAATGAGACAACTATCCAACAGAAACTAAAATGATGTATAGATGTTAGCAATAACCAAAATCCATGTTGCACAGAAAGCTATTAATAAAAGGTTCCAACATAACAAAATGTAAAACAATTCAAATAGAAAAAAAACAACGGCTGATTTATGTACAAAACAAACATTAAAAAACAATATGATATACAGCAACAAATGACAACTACTAAATTACAGGGCCCTGACTTGGAACACACAGAATGTGGGGAGGTTAAACACTTTTGAACCGTCAATTATACAGATGTACTGATACCAGTCGTTTATGTTAATAGAATAGAAAACATATAGTGAGTCAACTTATAACAAAAAGTTAAGCAGTGGTAAACTGTTTTACGACCTTTTCAATGCACGAAAGACCAACGATGTTCATATTAAAAGAAGAAGGGCTAGGTTGTATCATTTCAGGGCACAAAAGCTCTCTATACAAGTGGGATGTCTTTGGTTTCATACTTTTAAATACACAAACAAATGACAACGGATATGTTCAAATATCGAAAAATTTCGGAGGTCATATCGATGATACTACATATACATTAGTATCTCAACTCACTAGAGTCATGTTTTCAGTCTTAGATCTTAAGATACCAGAATAGTCGTACCCTGTCGACGTATCCTGTCTTGTTCCATTTAAAGTTTAGGTGTCAGACCACCAATTCAAAATCCCTATCTACTCTACCATTTTTTTTTCAGGTTTTCATAGCTTTCTCAATATTGTACCTTACGTTTAACTTCATATAAACCAGGTATATCCTGAATTGTACATATATTACCTTTCTACGTGCTAATTTTCAACCTATGTTTAAAGTCTTGTAATGAAACACAACCGTTCAGAAGACAACTACTACTAAAGATAACCCCTTATGTTTTGGAAATCTTAAATAAGTATATCATGGAGCGCATTAATCCTCAATTTTTAGTGAAAACTCATGGACAAGCAAATTTTGGCTCAAAATGTCTATATGAATATCACTTTCACCAAAAGTTTCATTTCTGCTATGTGTTGGTTAATTTAAGTAAACAATGACATCAAAAGCACTATTTTTGTCAAGGAAGGGCTACTTTTACATACTTTTTATGTTCTAAATTTGAGAGGCTGAATTGGTTGTCTGACACCTTTATGCCACCCCCCCCCCCCCCCTTTTGTTACCTTGATTTGTCTTTTTAATTGATTTGGGTGCTTTGAACATCAGTAAGCTACAGTTGCCTACATTTTACCTTGATAACTGATCGATGAAATGAGATCAGAAGGTTAACCCTGTCAAATGGACATGTTGACTTTCCAAGGATCTTATGTATTAAATATTATTATCCTGATACTCGTTTGTTTAAGCAGTCGCTAAACAACGATAATCAAAGTGATGGAAATCACTCATGGAAAGATTGGAACAGTAGTTTACTGACGAGGACAAATAACAGGGTCAATTTGAAAACATCCATTTCTTAATACTTTTATTAACCAAACCGTCAATGTATAATATTTAACCAAGCCAAATCAGTTCTTTTTTGTGGAGAAATTGTATATATATAAGTATATCAAATGCAATATTAAAAAGAAACTTTTAATAGTGATGTGATGGATTAACATATAAATGTGAATAAGATTTTATTGTTGTCCTATTCAAAGCAATTTATGGCATACAAAATGAAAGATTTCATTCTTGATTTTAACACTCAAAAATAAATAAATTGATACACATCATGAAATGTGTTATGTAATTATAACTTGACAACTGGGTCAAGATGTGTTTCCCTCAGTTTTAGTTTGTAACCCGGATTTGTTTTTTCTCAATCGGTTTATGAATTTCGAACAGCGGAATACTACTGTTGCCTTTATCTATTCAAATAAGATGAATCATGATTCTTAGAAACTTTCAATTTCTTGATGTTTCTTTTCCCCAGAAATGTATTTGAATTGATAGCAACTGGAAATCCGTAATAGCCCTGATTATTCATAATGGCTGTTTTTTTCATAATGGCCATGTTTTTCATAATGGCCCTGTTTATTCAAAATGGCTCTGTATTAATGCCCTGTTATTCTGTCCGACGACGAGGGTTTTTTTAGCGACCTGGACTACCCATGAGGGTCTTGTACGGTCGGTGTTATTCTGTAATGGACCAGTTTCGCTTTTATTAATAAAGGGGCAGTTTCATACATAATGCACTAAACTGGTTAATAAAGATGATTATTGTCTAAATTTATCATGTAAAATATTGACCTTACACAAATAACTTTTTTTATATATATATTTAGATTAAATATTTTGTCTTCTTTTAGAAAAAAATATCGTTAATCCTTAATCAGTTATCTTTCAGAAATAATTTATAGAATCATTTGATGCAGTGTAAATCAAAAGTAATAGGCAATGATTAATGAATAAATCTATCATTGCTATATATCAAACATCAATTTATATATATATTTGTGTATTCAATAATTAGGTCAATTATTTGTGTATTGAGATGTATAATGAGGGATCTGCTTAATTATGTAAGACTGAGGTTGATTAGTAATTTGTTCAATATGATTGGCATTTAAGGAGGTGGGACATTCTAATTATGGCTCCACCTTGTCTCTGATTGCTTGGTGATCATGGCAGCTGTGAATCATGCTGGTAATGTATCATTACTCGTACCTAATTAAAATGACCAAAGTAGCCTGTAAATTAACAAACACTTGAATGAACTGCTCCCAAGATATAACCCAAATACTTCACAGTTTATATGTGCATATATACATAGGCAAAGGAATTACAGGGAACTATATTTCAGTGTGTATACATTCTGTAGATTTAGTAGCTAACCTGTGCTACTTCATGTTTGGGAGGACGGTGCCTTAGGAAAGACTAGGAACAATAGTTCCAATCTTTCCAAAAATGAGGTCAAGGACAACTAACATACTAGTATAACAGATGAGAACTTTGGAAAATCAGAAGGAAACTATATAAAAGGTATGCACATGATGCAGCATCCAGGTCTTCTTCGTTTTTAAATATAAAGCATTATACAAATAGTTTATCACAGGCAAGACGAAAATTATAATCATAAATGTCTTCTAGTTAAGGGTGTTTTAAACCACAATTCTGTAAGAGGATCACATATTACAACATCCTATTAAAATATTCGATTTTTGGTAGTCTGCTGGAGTCAGATCTTTCTGACAGATGATAACAAATGTATTATTTAACCAAGATTTGGTACCTATTGTATTGGGACATATTCTTATATATCAGTAGTTTTGAAGGTTGTTCTGGGTCAAAAGCCACCATGTAAAAAAATTACAAACAACAATACTTTCTACATTTCATGTGTCTGAAAAGCTCTTTTCATAGCAATGAAAGCTATTACTTTTGTTTATGCACTGTTTCTTATTGTAATTGATTGTTTATGAAGATCATGTTTACCCCAGATTTTATTTTATTAATATTGTAACAAACCGCCGCCACAGGCCGAGTAATTGTTGATGGGTCTGTTGACAATTTTAGGGCCCATTATGCTCTCGTCAGGAATATACTGCATCTTGGATTTCCTACCTCCGAAGACGAATGGATGCCAGGCAATACACTCATTATACTCCATAGTTGGGTTATAAAATAAAGTTCTAACGTATATTATATTTATTTACATATATATATATATATATATAGAAGTCCAAACTATCCAAGATTTTTCCCGAGCCTCCCATGATAGCTTTTAGGCAACCCAATAGTCTGCGTAACCTGCTGGTGCGGGCTGAAGTGTCTGATAATAGAAATACTTCTGGAGAATGTCGTTCGTGTGATGAAAAACGCTGCAAATGCTGCCTACAGATGCATCACTCATCAACTTTTCACAGTAAGGCAACCGAAAATAACTATAAGATATTTTGCAATGGTAACTGCAAAAGTATGAATGTTATTTACATTCTAGAATGTTCGGTTTGTGGCCTCCAATATGTTGGTGAGTCAAAGCAGCCTTTCCACAAACGCCTCAATGGCCATAGGAGTGATATCTCTAAGAAGCCACTTCTCCCAGTTTCTCAGCATTTCAGACAGTCTGGTCACACACTTGATGACTTTAACCGCATGAAGATCCTAGTGATTGAACAGAACATTCACTGGAGTGATGCCCAGCGACAGGTTCGGGAAAGCTAGCTTTTGGATAAAGGAACTAAATGTACATCATCCAAACGGCATCAATAAAAAATACAAAGTTTTATTTTTCACTCATTTTGGGTTGTAAATATACACAGTCACGTATATTTGAGTATTGAGTTTTGTTTTATATTATGATGTTCAGGATTTTGGATTAAATCAATAGACCAAAACTTACCTGTATTATTGAGCTATTTTTATACATATTATCAGTATTGTTAAAATAATTGACACCGAAGAAGGCTATTTGTTAAGCCGAAATATTTGTCAACACGATTTATTAACAACATCTTCGTATAATACCATCTTATATTAGTATCGTTGTGCAAATCTCTAGACTTATATATATATATATATATACACAAATGCAGACGCCTTAGTTGGTAATCATTTTCAGGACATTTAGGTCACTCAGTGTGGTGGGGGATAACTGCCGCTACATTTCTTTCCCTTAACAATACTTCATCTTATCATAATGAATTAAAGTATATTAACCTGCTTGGCTTTTCTGTTTGGAATTGGTCTGGTAATGATAAACTTTCAAGAAGATGGTTAAGCTTACTAGTTCGGCTTGAGCTAACAAGTTATCCACCATTTCACTGTGCAGAGCCCTATTTATACTCTTTTGAGATCCCTGAAAGCCAATCGAAAATAAGGGATCTAGCCAGGGATCCCTGAGGACCAATGAGAACCCTGTCAGGACTGACAGGAAAATGTCCGACAAAATAGGGGCTTGACAGGAAAACCTGCACATTAAGAAATAATATATAAAATCGACATTAAAATTCCTGTCCATTAATTATCAAAGGGATGGGACTTAGTCTTAACTTTTCCTTTATTAAACTTTATAGTTAGAAGCATAAATATTTGTAACTAGATTTGTTTCCAAGTTCTAGCAGTGCGTAGTACTAGCAGACGACGGGAGTACTTATATTAAATTCCAGCGGTAAACTGGTTAACAATATAATTCCTATAAACTATTCTTTTACAGGTATAAACATTGAAGCTTTAATAAAATTATTAATACAATGCCTTATTTCTTACTCTTAAATACTACTTTTGATATTTAAGGTATTAAGTTACAACGACAAAAATATTTCCTACTGCGGTCACATGATCAGTAAAATGGCTCTTCACAGCAGAGAAACGAGAAACACGGTTTTGACCGATAGTAAAATCTTAAATATTTCCTTACTTTAGACACTTTCAGGACTTATAATGGGTTGAAATATAATTTCAGGTATATGAATATTTATGCCAGACACCTTATGCCCTTTAAAAAATATGTTATCAAGAAAAACGAGTTTGGTAAACAAGTGCAAGGGGGCACTTGCCAAACAAAATGGAAAAAGTTAAAAGATACAAATGTTACAATATGTGCAGTTCAAATTAATGTTCAAAAAGTCAATAATATTTTCTGTTGCAGGTTATCACCAAATAAAGTTTATATCCATCTGTAGTTTATTTTTTTCTTCTGTTGGCATGGTAAATTCCAAGTTGTAAAAATTATTAAATGTTATTTGTTCCAGTTATTACAATATGAAAGACACATATATTATAATACCATCATACTTATGAAGACTATACCTATCAAAGGGAGTCAATTTACTGTATGTTGTTATCATCTGTGATTGGTTGTAAAATAATATTTTGTACTTTTGTAGACTTTACCTATTCAAGTAAGTCAATGTACTGTATATTGTTATCTTCTGTGATTGTATGTAGCAAAATGATGCTTTGTTTAGCTACTCTGCAATGAGTTTTTTTATATTGGAACATAATTAACTTTTTTTATTTTTATATAAATTTTATTAAAATGCACAAAACTAATGAAAACACAAAACAATAATGTGTGGCATATGTATGATCATATTTTGTTTACACTGAAAAGCTTGCCATATGAGAAATTGTTATACCCTCTCTGCTTGGGTATAAGTAATCTCTGATAACATTGGAATGCTAACCACATCCACATGAACATGATCAACAATATTTGTTGTTTATTTTTGTGGTGAAAAACAGATACATTTAATATAAACAATAGATTACAAGTCTAAAGGTAAGTTTCTTTCCAAATATACTCTTCTGCTTTTGCGTGTTAAAATGACATGAATGAGTTATTACTTCTTTCAACTACACCAATGGAAATAGCTATAAATTTAATAAAAGAAAAATATGATGTTGGTTATGTTATACCAACAAATTTACAACATGATTTGGGTGTGCAAAACATAAACTTTATCCCTTGTCCCCAATGCAAGACCATGAAAATATCCCTACCCATGCTAAAGTACAACTTAAATAAATAAGTATTAAAAAATTCAGCTGGATTCAGAAAATTATCCTAAACAATCAAAATTTGCTTTACTTTAAATGTTTGATGATCGATAATTGAGGGTCACAATGAGGGTCCATCGATTCTGTATTGTTTAATTTTTTAAACCATTTTTCTCTATTCTTTATATTTAAGCACCCCATATTCTCTATTCTTTTATTTTTGTGGCCTATTTTACTCTATTCTTTATATTTTTTGTCCTTTATTGAGCACTTTTTGCTCATTATTCTCTATTCTGTAGACCCCATGCATCAAGACCCTCATAACTGAGCTGATTATTAGCAGCAGTGCAGACACAGCAGAGATGACAGTCTTAGATTAAATCTGACGTTTCTTAAGCTGAAAATAGCAAAAGCATATCCCATTAATACTTGAAAAAAAATATCAAGAACAACTAGGGGTTTTGAATACTGAAGCTGGCTGAACAAATTTCCACCATGCCTATTTCAAATTCATCTTTTGTTAAAACATGTAAAAGCAAAATTATCATAATAAGAAGTGGTCAAAGGTCAAGGTTTAATGGTACTCAACACATTGTATTGAGGTGATCATGTTTCACCCATGTCCCAAATATCAAAATCCCATATGCCTACTGAAGGATAAAACAAATTATGTATGTCAAATAAAAAATCAAATATTTTGATCATGAGGTCACATGATCATGATGATGGTCATGATGATATTTCACACACTGTCTTATAGTAATACAGTTTCATGCCAAATATCATTAATTAATGCTGAAAGATATGCAATGTTTTGCCAATAGTACTACAGCAACATGTCTCCCTTAATAAGAGAGTAGACCTTATTAGCATGATTACAAGGCTTAATTGCCCCTTGTAATGAAAAGACAAAAATTTATACCAGAGGCAAGTACTTGATATTTTCATTTTTAAACAACCCTGAAAAATTGCTGAACTTTGTTGTCTGTCCGGTAGCAAGTTAAGTTGTCCAAAATTATAGATGAACAGAAAAAGAAAAGAATATTAAGGAAAATAAAGAAAAAGACTTCTTGCTTATTGAACATTGAAAGGATGTTCCTTAAATATGTTAAATATTCAAACCCTAATTATTTTCAAAATAAAAAGACAGAAAAAAGATTATTCCATCAACTTTTCTCCCATCTTGATGTTCCATCTCACTGATTTCATGTTGTTGATAATATAACTTTGATAAATGACAGATAAGAGTGTTAGCATATTTGTTCGGAGAAATTCAGTTCTACATATTGTTCTTTCACATTATCATTTATACACATATATGCACACGTATTTACAAAACTTGAAGTAAGTATCAACATTGCTTAAGGTGATTTCAACTGTGAAATACCATTAAATGTATTTGAATTGTTTAATCATAAAAGTTCATTTTTCCAAAACAAATCTATGTTTTTGACTTGCGCTTGTCTACAACAACATGGCTGCATTATATAGCCATCTTCTAGTATTTTTTCAACTGTTTTGCACAAGAAACAGCCCATTACGACAAAATAAAATAAATGTATTGCAATTAATCATACTTCATAAGCAACATCTATCCATTTGAAGAAGACAGTATTTGTTCATGATTGTCAATAGAAGGAGTATTGTTTAAATTACTTTGGTCCTCACCTATCACATCACCAGACATAGGTGCCATCATTGGCATTAAAGGAGTAGGCAAATCACTTAAGGATCCACTATCATCGTCTAAGTTCACTTTCATTTTACTTGGCTTAATTGTTAATGGAGTCCGTTCAAGCACGTCTTGGATTTCTTGCTTAAAGCTATCCTTAAAGTCTTTCATATCTTCTTGGAGTTGTAAAGTGTCCGCCATTACTTTTTCCTGTCTCTGTTTTAGATCAGATAATGTTTTTAAGTTATCGTACATTAAGCGTAGTCCTTCACACATGTACTCATTACCTCGCTGAGGAGGGATTGCCTCTCCAGACATATACCTGTCATACTGGTCCTGTGTAAGATTAAGTGACTCCGCATTTATATTCTCAATAAAGGATACAACACAACACTGAAAAAGAGAGTATTTTTTTCTAATGAGTTTATTAAAATATATGCAGGTTTATACAAATCAATTAATTTCTGATTTACTTAAACACGAATAACCTAAGAGAGGCAAATTGAAAACTCTTCTTTGAGTAAGCCTCTCCTATTCTTTTTTCTTCACTGCTATGAAACAGAAAGGGGTATTTAAACATTTAAATTTATTATATTTTCTCTTTGCAATTACATTTTGTACTTTGACTGTTTTAACAGTTTTTCCAGCATGGACAACAAATTATTGACTGTTGATCAATGCTGATCATCATTAAAATACTGCTTTTCATTGTCAGTCATGACTAGTGTTATGTCGGATGTTTCTTTCAAAAAGAATTTTATTACACCATGTTTTAGCCATGAGTCATATTTATTCAGCTAAAGCATGTTGTTCTTTTTTAACTTTTGAATTATGAAGGTAGATTGAAGGACAACTGTCACTTACAACAAAAAATATCTGTTGATCAACTGGCCCACAAAGATAGCTGCCCCAAGGTCAATCAAAAATTTTCAAGGTCTGATTTGAGACTGATTTGTCAGGTAAGGACAACAGTTCAGTCTTCCGGTCAAACAAAACAGCTGTTGATCTCAAACCAAATCAATAACTGTATATCAATGAATAAGTTAAAAAAAGAACTGTTTTGTAAATTTCAAATGAAACACAGGACAATCTTTTGTAATTTGTCTGAGTCACTGACTGCATTTTCACTGCATTTGAAATTTGGCCCAAGACAACATTTAACCTTTATGAATCATATATATTGATTTTCCTAAAAAACATGCGACTACAATTGGGGAATAACTTTTTAATTAAATGAAGTGAAATGGTTTTGCTGGTTTAGTATTATTTTTCTCAATTGAAAATTTACCAGAAAACTAAACATGCTAAAATAAAACCTATTTGACTATATCATTGGAAAAAATACAAAATCACAAAACAACAACAAAACAAACATTTTATCGGAAAATCAATCAATTTGAGCTTCGATTCTCCCACAAACTGTAACTTATCAATGTCAAGCTGCTGACAAAATATGAAGTCATTCTGTTCTGTAGTTTCAACAAAATATTTATTAGACAAGCAGATTTCAGACTGACAGACAGACATGGTGATTGCAATATAGCTTTAAACAAGAATGTGTCCATAGTACACGGATGCCCCACTCGCACTATCATTTACTATGTTCAGTGGACCGTGAAATTGGGGTAAAAACTCTAATTTGGCATTAAAAAAAAAGATCATATCGTAGGGAACATGTGTACTAAGTTTCAAGTTGATTGGATGTCAACTTCATCAAAAACTACCTTAACCAAAAACTTTAACCTGAAGCGAGACAGACAAACAGATGGACGGACGAACAAACGGACAAACGAACGAACGCACAGACTGAAAAACATAATGCCCCTAGGTAGGGCATAAAAATATAGTACAAAACTCACCAGATTAGTAAAATAATATCCTGCTTCGCCACTCATCAGTCGACTAGGATTAGCGAACCTAGTTATATACTGTATATTAGACTGTAATTGTGGTGGATTAGCTTTAAGCACTATGTAAATCAATGCTGGCAGGAAATCATCAGCATTAGCTGGTCCCTCTAAGGATACTTTTAGAATGTCAAATATATGTTTACAACATCTGGTTACACAGTCTAGTTTATCTGGTGGTGATTTCTTTGAATTCATGTCTATAATCTCTGGGAAAAAATTATTAGAGTCACATAAGATAATATATTACTACACATGTATATACAATATTAGGCCAAGAAAAACATACAGGGTCTGTTTAAGGCTACATCTGTGATTGGTTGGTGGGCATATTCTCAGCCAATCAACCCTTGTCAGTACTTATTCTAATGACAGGGTAATTCATTTAGGGCTGGTTACACTTTTTACTCCTTGTGTCACTTTTATGACCAGAAAAGAGTGCAGCAGGATTTGCTTACCTGCTTCCGCAGCACCTGAAATCTCCCCCGGTTTTTGGTGGGGTTCATGTTGCTCAGTTTTTAGTGTTTTATGTTGTGTTTTGTGTACTGTTGTTTTTCTTTCCATTGTTTATCATTTTTTGCCATGGCATTGTCAGTTTGTTTTCGACTTGTGAATTTGAACTTCCCTTTGGTATCTTTTGCCTCTCTTCTATAACTGGATTAATTAATATATTTAATGTCCAGAGAGATCTAAATGTTGTTATATACATTTACTGATGACAGTGTCAGTAAATGCATTGAAAAAAGGTTAGAAGCCTCTGGCCTTTGTTAGTCTTGTATCATTTTTAATTTTAGTTTCCTGTGTATAATTTGGAGTTTTGTATGACGTCCATTATCACTGAACTAGTATACATATTTGTTTAGGGGCCAGCTGAAGGATGCCTCCGGGTACGGGAGTTTCTCGCTGCATTGAAGACCCATTGGTGGCTTTCGGCTGTTGTCTGCTCTATGGTCGGGTTGTTGTCTCTTTGACACATTCCCCATTTCCATTCTCTATTTTATTTCAATGTAGGTTTTAATTGAATATCAGGTGGACAAATATATGAAACTATGCTACATAGGTCTGCTGGTGGTTTAATGTTTAATATTGGTTGCAAGGTGTAATCAAACCCTACCAATTATTATTTTTAAAACAAACATGCTACCTTTTCCTTTCTTCCTTTAAAATAGTGGCATTTCGGTTCAAACAATGATCCTAATTCACAAAACTGATTAATGACTGTACTTTAAATGTCCAGTAGCAAATATTGCAAACATAAGCAGGTGATTGATAATACAAACTTGATTCTATTTCTTATTACATCAATTACATCAATACTTCTGTTTAATTACCTGTTATTGCTTTATCCACCAACTTCCTAACATTCTGATCATGTTCATTAATGGGAGTGTCTATCTGAGTAGGTGTGACCCAATGTAAACTACGTATGTGATTCTGTACATGTAAATCTTTCTGTTCGTCTTCTGTATGAGATGGACAGAACAGTGTTGCATACAATTTAACCGTCATGTAACTCTCTATATAAAACATGGCCTTGTCCAATATATCCTGGCTGTACCCTACAAAAAGAACAAAATTATTAACTCTTTATAAAACATGGCTTTGTCCAATATATCTTGGCTATAGCCTACGAAAAAGAACAAAATTATTAACTCTCTATATAAAACATGGCCTTGTCCAATGTATCCTAGCTATACCCTAGAAAAAGAACAAAATTATTAACTCTATATAAAACATGGCTTTGTCCGATATATCTTGGCTATAGCCTACAAAAAGAACAAAATTAATAATTCTCTATATAAAACATGGCCTTGTCCAATATAGCTTGGCTATAGCCTACAAAAAGAACAAAACTATTAACTCTATATAAAACATGGCTTTGTCCAATATATCTTGGCTATAGCCTAAAATAAAATGCTCCGCTGGGCGCAGCTTGATACGACCGCAGAGGTCGAACCCTGAACAGTTGTGGCAAGTATGGACACAACATTCAAGCTTGATACAGCAACGAATTTGGATTGTGATTAAATATTTGACACAGCATAGGTTTCTGACAGAGAATGAATGTGGTCTAAGAACTTAAAAAATTTTAATTTACCTATTCAAACCATATCATTATTATTTGCTTTTATATATTAATCAGAAATAACCAATTTAAAATGGAAAATTTTAAAGAAAAAAAAAAGGAAAAAAAACTAAAAAAAATCCCTCCCTCAAATTTTTTGAACCCCCTTATGATTCATCACCCCCAAACTCAATCCCAGCCTTCCCTTTGTGGTATGGTACCTTGCAGTACAATTTCAGAGAGATCCATACACTTGAACACAAGTTATTGTCTGGAAACTAGAAAAATGCTTGTTTTTAGGCCCCTTTTTGGCCCATAATTCCTTAACGTTTAGGGCAATTACCCCCAAACTCATACCCAGCTTTCCCATTGTGATATGGAACCTTGTAGTACAATTTCATAAAGATCCATACACTTACACACAAGTTATTGTCATGAAACTAGAAAAATGCTTGTTTTTTGCCCCTTTTTGGTCCCTAATTCCTAAAATTTGGAGGCAATTAACCCCAAAATCAATCACAGCATTCCCTTTGTGATATGGAACCTTGTGGTACAATGTCAGAGAGATCCATACACTTACACACAAGTTATGTCTGGAAGTTACAAAAATGCTTATTTTTGGCCCTTTTTTGGCCTCTAATTCCTCAACTGTTGGTACTATAACCCCCCAAAATCAATCCCCACCTTCCTTTTGTGGTATTGAACCTTACGGTAAAATTTCTCAGAGATCCATTCACTTAAACTAAAGTTAGAGTGCGAAAACCAATGTGTCTTCGGACGACGACGAGGACGACGCCAACGTCATACCAATATACGACCGCAAAATTTTTATAAAAAGAACAAATTATTGAGGAATGCTATAGAATACTGTTAATAAACTAATTTTTCATGAGCGTTTTATTTTCATGACTTACACAAATATAAAACTTGGATCTTCCTTTATATCAAAAAATTATGAAAATTAGAAAATAGAGAAAATAAATCGATGCAAAGTCGGCTAGGAAGAGCTTAGCAAATAAAGAGTGTGCCATGAGCACATGATAAGGCCGTTGCCAACTGGACAGTTTTCGACAATTTTTCAACTAATAAAGTTCCATAACTCCACAAAGTCATATCAGAAATTTATAAAAAACAAAACGGAGCTTGTTTCAATAGATATAAACAAGTCACCAAACCAAAGTTTCATGATAACTGCTAAAAGCATTTTTGAGTTATTGTCCGAAATACTGGAAAATCTCCCCTTTTCTTATGAATAAAGTCTCAATACTTCAAAACGTAAAATCAGAAATAATAAAAAATCAAAAGGGAACTTATGTCAGTTTTTTATTTCCAATCAAGGGCCTAAAGGGACATAATGACAATAATACACAATACATTCTCATTCATAACACATAAACATATCAATGGAGATAAAATTAAAACTCACATAAAGTGGATGAGATTATCATAGAATATATATCATACATATAATCATATAAAATATCACAACATAAAACTTGTTATTATTATTTTTTTTTATAAATCAATTTAGTTCTTTCAAAGTTTCATATCTTTGATTTTACTGCCATGCCAGAGTGCCAACACAAATAATGCAATCATTCTATCATTTTTTACCTCCTCAAAAATGGCTGAATGTTTTAGAATCGTACAATTTTCAACAACTGATTGTAGATGCCACAAGGGTAACAAAAGATTCTAGTACATTGATTGATCATATTTATGTCAATAATCCAATTATGGTACATGAATCACATGTGTGTAGATATGCAATTAGTGACCATTACCCTATCTGTTTAACAAGGAAAGAAGCAAATATAGGAAAAAAGAATACACACAGTACAATTACTTATAGAAATTTCAAAAATTTCAACCAAAATGAATTTTTATTAGATCTGCAAACTACACCTTTTCATAAAATTGAATTTGAAGAAAACCCCTCTGACTGTCTACAATTGTTTTATGATATGTTGAACAAAGCTTTAGATAAACATGCTCCTGTTGTTAAAAAGAGAGTTAAAAGGGACGGACAGCCTGAATGGTATAACAGTGAAATCATTTATGCTAGGAATATGAGAGATAAATATAATGCACTTGGTTTATGGAGTGAGTATAGATTTTGGAGAAATAAAACTAAACATGTCATAGATAGCTCAAAAAAGAATTATTATAAAAATATGGTAAAAGACTCCAATGACCCTAAAACTTTATGGAAATGTCTTCACAGTCTGAACCCAAAAGTTAAAAATACACCATATGAGTTAGCCACAGAAGATAACAATACAACTAAAAGTAAAAAATCAATAGCAGAAACTTTTAATAACTTTTTCACTTCCTGTGCTGAAAAATTAAGAGAACAAGGAAGTTATACACCTGTAAACAAAGCAGATTTCAGTAATCTTGGCAAATTTGTTAAAAATAAATTACATAAACATGATAAATTTTCTATACCACCAGTGATCATGAATGAGTTATTTAATGAGTTAACAAAACTTGATATAAACAAAGCATCTGGTATGGATAATATAGGACCAAAAATCCTAAGATTAAGCGCCCCTGTTATTGCATCACCTCTCACATACATATTTAACCGAATGATAGATACTGGTATATATCCTTCTTTACTGAAGAATGCTAAGGTAACACCAGTTTTCAAGGATGGTGACAAGCTTTTAGCAACAAATTACAGACCTATATCTGTTCTTCCAACTTTATCAAAATTAATAGAAAGGCATGTTTCTAATAACATGTACAAATACTTATCTAAACTTAACCTTTTACATCCTACACAATCTGGTTTCAGGCCGCAGCATTCTTGTCAAACTGCACTTATTAATATCATTGACAAATGGTTGCAAGAAATGAATGATGGAAATTTAAACCTAGCAATTTTATTAGATTTTAAAAAAGCTTTTGATTTGGTAGATCATGACATTCTTTGCTTAAAGCTTGAAATTTATGGATTTAGTGAGGCTACTGTTAGTTTTTTCAAGTCATACCTGAATAACAGAAAACAGCAGGTAAACATTTGTAATGTTTACTCTGAACAACAACATGTAAAATTTGGTGTCCCCCAAGGTTCTATACTTGGTCCTCTATTGTTTGTGCTATTTATAAACGACCTTCCCTTATGCATTGAAAATTGTGAAACAGACCTATATGCTGATGACACCACTCTTCATAAATCAGGGAAAAACATAGAAAATATACATGATGATGTTCAAGAAGATTTATACAGGGTTGAAGAGTGGTGCAAAATGAATAACATGTTCATTAATGCAAATAAAACAAAATGTTTGGTTACTGGAACAAAGCAGAAACTATCAATTCAGACTTATCAACCAAACTTAATAATAGATTCAAAAGTATTACAAAATTCTTCATGTGAAAAATTATTAGGTGTTAAAATTGACAGCACACTTAACTGGAGAAATCAAATTGACCAAGTTTGTGCTAATATATCATCCAGAATATACCTTCTTTCTAAAATAAAGACATTTTTAGATATAAATGCAAGGAAAACATATTACAATGGATATATTCTGCCCCTGATTGACTACTGCTGTATTATTTGGGGTGAATGTAAAAATGAAGGGATAGCAAGAATTTTAAAACTCCAAAAAAGGGCAGCAAGATTAATTCTAGATGCAGATCCTTTATCCCCCTCAGCCCCCTTATTTAAAAAACTTGGGTGGATGACAGTTGACAATAGAATAAAATACCACAAATATTTACTTCTATATAAATGTATGCGTATGGAAGCACCAATGTACCTAGTTCAAAAGTTTAAACTGAAATCAGATAATAATCCTTACTCCCTGAGAGGCGTCACTCAAGGTAATCTGATAGTCCCTAAGCCAAAAGCTGAGCTATTTAAGAAATCTTTTGTTTATTCTGGATCAGTGTTATGGAATGGACTACCACACAAAATGCGTAAAGCTCAAAACACTTATACTTTTAAACAAAGTATCAAGAAGTACTTAACACAGTCCTGATAAGATTATTTTTTCTACAATGTATTTGTATATTCTTTTATTTTTATTTGTATTTGATTTTTTGACTACATGTACATCTTGAACAGCCTTATATCTTATCATGTAAGTAATATTACATTGAACTAATTGACTGTAAATTAACTTTGTGTAAATATCTGTTTTTGATTGTATTGTAATTTGAATGTGAGGGCCTCAGGGAAGATTAGTTTATTGTAACTAACTGAGTTTACCCTCTTTAAATAAAGAATTTATTATTATTATTATTATAATAACATGTACAAATACTTATCTAAACTTAAACTTTTACACCCTACACAATCTGGTTTCAGGCCGCAGCATTCTTGTCAAACTGCACTTATTAATATCATTGACAAATGGTTGCAAGAAATGAATGATGGTAATTTAAACCTAGCAATTTTATTAGATTTTGATTTGGTAGATCATGACATTCTTTGCTTAAAGCTTGAAATTTATGGATTTAGTGAGGCTACTGTTAGTTTTTTCAAGTCATACCTGAATAACAGAAAACAGCAGGTAAACATTGTAATGTTTACTCTAAACAACAACATGTAAAATTTGGTGTACCCCAAGGTTCTATACTTGGTCCTCTATTGTTTGTGCTATTTATAAACGACCTTCCCTTATGCATTGAAAATTGTGAAACAGACCTATATGCTGATGACACCACTCTTCATAAATCAGGGAAAAACATAGAAAATATACATGATGATGTTCAAGAAGATTTATACAGGGTTGAAGAGTGGTGCAAAATGAATAACATGTTCATTAATGCAAACAAAACAAAATGTTTGGTTACTGGAACAAAGCAGAAACTATCAATTCAGACTTATCAACCAAACTTGATAATAAATTCAAAAGTATTACAAAATTCTTCATTTGAAAAATTATTAGGTGTTAAAATTGACAGCACACTTAGCTGGAGAAATCAAATTGACCAAGTTTGTGCTAATATATCATCCAGAATATACCTTCTTTCTAAAATAAAGAAATTTTTAGATATAAATGCAAGGAAAACATATTACAATGGGTATATTCTGCCCCTGATTGACTACTGCTGTATTATTTGGGGTGAATGTAAAAATGAAGGGGTAACAAGAATTTTAAAACTCCAAAAAAGGGCAGCAAGATTAATTCTAGATGCAGATCCATTATCCCCCTCAGCCCCCTTATTTAAAGAACTTGGGTGGATGACAGTTGACAATAGAATCAAATACCACAAATATTTACTTCTATATAAATGTATGCGTATGGAAGCACCAATGTACCTAGTTCAAAAGTTAAAACTGAAATCAGATAATAATCCTTACTCCTTGAGAGGTGTCACTCAAGGTAATATGATAGTTCCTAAGCTAAAAGCTGAGCTATTTAAGAAATCTTTTGTTTATTCTGGATCAGTGTTATGGAATGGACTACCACACAAAATGTGTAAAGCTCAAAACACTTATACTTTAAAACAAAGTATTAAGAAGTACTTAACACAGTCCTGATAAGATTATGTTTTCTACAATGTATTTGTATATTCTTTTATTTTTATTTGATTTTTTGACTACATGTGCATCTTGAACAGCCTTATATCTTATCATGTTAGTAATATTACATTGAACTAACTGTAAATTAACTATGTGTAAATATCTGTTTTTGATTGTATTGTAATTTGTATGTGAGGGACTCAGGGAAGATTAGTTTATTGTAACTAACTGAGTTTACCCTCTTTAAATAAAGAATTTATTATTATTATTATTATTATCATATAGTTTATATATATATATATATATACACTATTCACCAAAGTTTCATGAAAATTGTTCAACACATTTTTGAGTTATAGTCAGAAAAGTGGAATAATCCTGCATTTTTTATGGATAAAATCCCACAACTCGGAAGCTTAAAATCGAATATTTATAAAAATGGAAAGGGAGCTTACATTAACAAATATAAACAATTCACCAAAGTTTCATAAAATTTGGTGAAAGTGTTTTTGAGTTACTGTCGGACATGTTGACAACGGACAGAGGGACAACAGTATAACATAATATGTTCCATAAATGGGCGTATAAAAAAATAATGTATCTGTGAAAATAAATTGGTTTACAGTATCTAAATTAAACATCATACAACAGTTAAAGTACAGAGACAACAGAGATAAAGTAGATATAGTAAAACAGTCTCTTTGTTTGCACAAATTTTGCATACTTAAAATAGTTACTTTAGGGTATTCCTTATTATGTAATAATCACTAATATGATGAAAGATATGAGGTCAGAGAGACAATAATCCACAATTATTCTAGACAGCAAACATACTCCTTAACTACACAAGAGAAGATAACTTCTGACAAATTTTGCTTTAGATAACTCTGTTTTAAGTAATCTAATTCAAAACTTTTCACTTTGAAAGTTCAGAGAAGATTTTTTAAAAATGGCCAATCATATATATAATTAAAAATTCCCTCTGGTAACCATACTTTTCATCAAATCTAACCAAATGACGACCCTCTGCAGAGGACCTTACATAAAGTATTTTTAACAAGGTTTAAATTTTAAAGAGTAGTTTCATAAGGAAATGTTAATTTTATTTTCCTTAGGGTTCATTGGAAAATTTAATACAAAATAAATTTTAATTGTTTTTTTGTTTGTTTTGAAAAGGTTCTATATCTCTTTGTTTTGTTTTTTTTAGCTTATGTATATATAAACTTAATTATGACTAAAAAGATGCATTCGTACCCCTAGAACACACCTGCGCATAGTTCCCATTTGATAAGTTGATGTTTGTTTCATGTTTACTCATTCAGTTCCACAATTATCCCTACCTTTATACAATGCATTATTTGCCATTCTATCCAACAGTGTTTGGTAGAAGTCCTGTACAACTTCTGACATTTCTTCTACTGGAGCTTCAGTTATTGTTCCCATCTTGTCCACAATGGCTTTAATATGTTTAGACACATCTACAGCCGTGTTCTTACGTAGAGTCTGCAAAAATTTGGCGAACTCTGCGCCAACTTGTTGAGTATCTGTGTTAAGTGGTCTACCAGTCACTGGTTTCGAAGTCTTCTCTTGAGTTTGACTCTCTGTAACGGAAAAAAAAAATTAATTACAAAGATGAATGGGAATACATACATTGTAGTGACGACGATAAAAATGTCAATAAAAAATCTCAAGTTTTGAGGCCAAAACTCCAGCTGAAAATTTTCAAATCTCCAGTGGTGACTTAACAACTCTGTCACACGTCTACATTGAACATGCTTTGATTTTTATCATCATCCCAATTCGGTGAATGTTTTAATTTTGGCTGTGAGGATTGCATACTTTTTCAAAGCAAAACCAAAATTTGTAAACTTACCATCACATGAATATATATATTCTGAGGTGCATGTATACACATTAGTTACTTGAATATTAATAACAACATATTCATCCATTTCAAAATTTATACTTTTTTGTATTTTCCAGTTTCCATCAAAAGTATAAAAATACATGTGTCAGATTTTCCAAGGATAGTTTGAAAGACCAATTTACAAGTTTAATGGTCAGTCTTTTTTTTGTTTTAACAGATTCAAAGGAAGTTTTGTATTGATCTACAGAGACATACAAAGAGGTGTGATGATGCAATTATTTCCAACAGCTGACATTCTAAATCAAAGTTCACATGAGGGTCAACAAAAATAACAGGTCTTGACCAGCATTTAATTCTGAATTGTTTCATTATTGACAAATGATTGTTTAACCAAATATCTAAAAACAATTCACTCTAAATTATTTCCAGAGTTTTGAAACACTAACTAAAGTTTTAAAAAATACACAATCATTGAAATAATTAAGCAAAAACCCTGTAATAACAAGTCTCCCTAAGGGTGCCCCATACTTGTACAAAAGCGACAGGTGATCTGCACATAACCTACCTGAGGCCAAAGAATTAAATGGGTGATCTTGGGCAATATGACATAATTAAATCTTATCATATTTTTAATTCATTGTAAACATTAAATTTAAGTATGGTACAGTCTGGGACAGTTTTGTTACTTGCATAACATTTATGTCATGTTAAATTGGAAGTAAACAAAATGAATTAGGTTTTGTAATTTCATTTTCAATACATAATTTCCTTATTATCTCTTTTTTATATTCTAATCATGATAATGTTTAATATATTTTTCACTGTTATTCACAACTCGTCTTAGAGAAAAAATAAAAACATGTTTAAAGAATTCACAGTCCATTTTTCATGTTATTTAATTACAAATTTCCTAATTATGGATCAGCGAAACCTACACAAATCTAGAAAAAAGACAAATAATAATGATATCTGACAGATTAATGTTTTAACAAATTAACTCCCCTTTGTATATTATTCTGGCCACAGACCACAATTAAATTCTCTATTAGTTCTTTATAACGTTTTGTTTCATTAAAAAAAATGCTCCGGTTCTTTTTGTCAAATATTTTGTGTGTGGTACTAGTCCAAACATATATCAAACATTCAGAAATATCGCTCCCCAGCATCTTACAATTCTAGCCAATACACATCCATACCCCTATGGACAAGTCAAGAGATGTTCCGAAAACTGTAAATATCACCTTTTTGCACCTGGCCTAATTACTCTTTCCATATCAAAATCAGTTAAAATACAACATCCAAAAGTTTATTTCACCTCTCTTCTTTCATTTCCATCCAAAAAAATCTAAGAAATGAGTGAGGAAGGGAAAGAAAAAAAATTAAGAAAAAATACACTCTAATTAAAAGGAACTATATTCGTGGACAACGAAAAGCGGGATCATTAATTGTGGTCTTTGGCCTATTAGGGGTCTAAACCTTGACCAATTCTAATAAAACTTGGTATGATTTAAGCTTAGTGTACTATGAAACAGTTTACAAAGTTTCAAAGCCATATGATACCAATTATAAAAATTGTGGCATTTTTTATATCTGAACTTTGGGTGCTGAATTGTGGCGTTGAATTAGAATAATTTCAACTATCAAATTTGGGCTTCTAAAAACCAAAATATACCAAAACTTACACTTTTTAATGTCTCTATGTATAAGTTATCACCTATTAAAAGCAACAGATAGCATACTTCATGTTTCAGACTTATAAAAAATGGCCAGAAGTAAATTTCATATGGGCCTGTGCCAAAAAATAGAGGTTTTCAAATGAAGTGAGGCCTTATATGCAATGTAATATTTTTCACTTACCACAATTTTCTGAAGTTGCTAAGTTATAAAAAAACCTTTTACATGTTATAAATGTACTTTTAATGGAAATATAAGTTTCAAATAGCAGAACACATGTGAATAAAATGGTCTTCAGCAATGTCAAGCTTAAAAAAACAGGTTGTCAATTTAGGTCGTTCCCCACATTTGCATATTAAAAAGCATATAAATGATATGGGAGATGAAGATATGCTTCTTTTTGCTCAAATCTTTGCTCAGATATGATAAAACATGAAGCCTGGATGTAACAAGACTGTCACTTTCAACTATATATGTAGACAGTATGATCTAATGCAAAGTTATTTACTTTACTTTTTAAAACCGGCATGAAATTTCAGCCTCAAAAGGCCAATATTTTAACCACTAGCTATCAAACAAAAGAAAATAAAGGTAGTCTGTGAAACAGACAAGGTCAAACAACCAGTAATAAGTGCTTTTGATACAGTTTCAGTGAAATCTGCTAAAAGGAATTCAACTTGTATGTGCATAGAACCTCATTTTTCACTTGCTTCATACTGACCGTTAGACTAGGACCATTAAAGCAGCACATTTTGCACTCTTATTCTGATTTTATCTACTTTTTTTGTATGTTTAGTGTTCAAAAATGAGTTAAACATCTACATTAGATACCACAAACACAAGTAGAAAATCAGAAAAACCTGTGAGAGAGAAAGTAAGCATGCTACTTTTGTAAAAATATTGAAACAACTGAAAAAGTTCAATTTTGGGCATGTAGGCTGAAATGTCACTTTTTTACAAAATTTCTATCAAATAAAAGTGGAAATCATTTATTCTCATGTAGTTTGACAAATTAATATAATTATATCATTCAGGGAAGTTGTCAAAGTACAAATTCAATATTTCCTGAATTTCACCTCTTAGGCCACAGACCACAATTAAATTCTCTATTAGTTCTTTATAACGTTTTGTTTCATTAAAAAAAATGCTCCGGTTCTTTTTGTCAAATATTTTGTGTGTGGTACTAGTCCAAACATATATCAAACATTCAGAAATATCGCTCCCCAGCATCTTACAATTCTAGCCAATACACATCCATACCCCTATGGACAAGTCAAGAGATGTTCCGAAAACTGTAAATATCACCTTTTTGCACCTGGCCTAATTACTCTTTCCATATCAAAATCAGTTAAAATACAACATCCAAAAGTTTATTTCACCTCTCTTCTTTCATTTCCATCCAAAAAAATCTAAGAAATGAGTGAGGAAGGGAAAGAAAAAAAATTAAGAAAAAATACACTCTAATTAAAAGGAACTATATTCGTGGACAACGAAAAGCGGGATCATTAATTGTGGTCTTTGGCCTTCTCTGGAGTCATTTTTTCTTAAATTGTTCACACATTCTTATATATATCAATCATATATATATAATTTAAGAAATAACAATAAAATCAGACATAGAAAACTTTACCCTTGAAAAAAACTATAGTCTTCATTTTCCTCCAAGAATATCAATTACAAATTATTCATATAATGAAAAACTGTTCTAATGTTGAAACCATTGATAAATATTCAGTGTTAACTTATAAGGATTATGTAAAAACTATACTTGACTTTTGAACAACGCATAAAATGCTTGTAATAATCACATGAAATTGAGTGTACTGGAAATTAGAATTACAATCACATGACCAACTGTTACCAGCAAATTATTGATTATGATTTGACATTTTTAGAGACATACATTTTTACATTTTTAATATCAACATTTGCTTTATAAATGTAATTTTGCTGATATAAGAGTGAAATGAGCTTTCAAAATTAGACGAAAAATTGGAGAAAGATAGCTAATATATGATATAACTGAATAATAAAATCAAAACTTGGAAAAAAGGGGGAGGATCTCATGAGCAATATTCTCTTACTCTGCCTTTCAGATGAAAATTATAGAAATTACAGTATAAATTTAATAATAAATGCAAACTTTTAGTCTCCAGCACCTGAAAAAAGTTATTCCAGAGATGTGCTGTAGATAACACAACACACAGTAATCATACCATACATCTTATATGATATATGTACTACAAGGTTTCAGTATCAAACTTTCCTTAAATTAAATATTGAAATATTTTGAGAATGATGTATGAGAATAAACCAGTAAGGGAGTGATACTATTATTATACTGAATAGTGAATTATAGATTGTACATGTATGCTTTTATTAAAGATATACATGTTATACAAAAATAATTTCTCCTGATTTTTAAAAATAACAGAAGATGTATTCAGGGTCTTATTTAGTCTACACAACATGGCTAAATGCACACTTAAATAGCTTAACTTGACAAAAAAAAGTAGTTTTAAATTTCAGCAAGTTATTTCTTTTAAGTTTTTTTTGTGTCAGCATAGGAGGCAATTCAATAAATGCCATTCCAAATTGACATCTATATAAAAATAAATTAGTAAAATTTTTGGTTTTTTTTAAAAATAAATGAGGAATGTGGCCATGGGACACAGATGATGCCCCCACTTGCATATCATATTAAGTTATAAAGGGAAATAACTGAAGAACAGTAAAAGTGATGCTACCAAAATTTGTACTTGATCTGAGTTTTGTAGTAATAAGTATTGTGTATAAGTTTCATAAGATTTGGTTGAGGCAAACTTAAGTAAGAGAACGGAAACGAAAAATTCAGAATTTTTTCCGTTTGTAAAGGGCATAACTCTGGAATGGTTAAAGTGACACCACCAAAATTCAAACTTGATCTGTATTTTGTGGTAATCAGCATTGTGTATAAGTTTCATTACATTTGGTTGAGGCAAACTTAAGTTAGAGAACAGAAACAAAAAATTCAGCAATTTTTTTCCATTTGTAAAGGGGCATAACTCTAGAACAGTTAAAGTGACACCACCAAAATTCAACCTTGATCTGTATTTTGTTGTAATAAGCATTGTGTATAAGTTTCATAACATTTGGTTGAGGCAAACTTAAGTTAGAGAACGGAAAGGAAAAATTCAGCAATTTTTCCATTTGTAAAGAGGCATAACTCTAGAACGGTTAAAGTGACACCACCAACATTCAAACTTGATCTGTATTTTGTGGTAATAAGCATTGTGTATAAGTTTCATTACATTTGGTTGAGGCAAACTAAAGTTAGAGAACGGAAACCAACTATGGGACGTACATACGGACGGACGAACGTACGTACGGATGGAAGTACAGACGGACAAGGATAAAACTTAATGCCCCCTCCGCTACGGCGGGGGCATAAAAACAATTTTAAGAATTATTTTACCTCTGTGAAGCAAAAGTTGTGATTATTTACAATTTTTTCTATTGTTTAGGTTTTATGGCAACATCTAAATCATCTTAGTTCTGTTGATATAACATTGATAATTCCTTTTTTTTTCAATCTCTTGATTTGATTACAATAGTTTGCCAAATGCACGAGTCATCCTCAACAGGACTATTAGGTAGTTTAGACCTGTAATTAACTCCAAGACCCTTATTTAAAATAAGAAGATTTTTTGATGTGTAAAAGTTAGCTCCCATATTCTTTTTTTTTTTATCTTAAAACAAATCAAAAAATTTTATGAACAAAAATATGATAGAATATGCCTTCGTTTAAGCTTAAATTCGTTCCTACAAATTATATTTTTATATTATCTGAGAAAAAAGATGGATATAAGTTAGTAACTTTCATTGGACAATATTGTTGTTTTTACTTCACTTTTCATTATTTATACAGACAAAACATGAAGACCGACGACTGTGTCCTAACTAGTAAGACTAAAATATGATAAATACTCATATAAAATCATACACAATTTTTTTAGTAATTCAGTATTTGTAATATCAATCACATGCATTTAATTAATACAGCAGGATTAAATTTTTATTTTAATATAAAACATACACTTATATAGTAATACAATGAGGATATATAAAGAAAAAAATATTGAGGATTTTACATGCACTTATACATGTACCATGTGTGTATACCATTACCTTTTGTTGGCCATCTAAATCTTAATTCTAAAATTAATGGAATTTTCAGAATAAGTAAGGAATAAATGTAAGTGTATCATCTTGACATGTCACTTATGTCCCTCTCCCCTAAAACACATCATCCTGAATACTCAGTCTAAGAGGTTTGGGAACACATATTATAAGTACATTGTACATCAATCATGATTCTGGCTTTCCAAATGAAATCCAGCAGATGTAACAACTATTAAGGCCATTTTTCAATAAGATTGATTGATTGTGTTTAACACCACTTTCAACACTGGGTTATATCATGGTGGTCAGTTTTTATTGGTGGAAGAAGCCCGAGTTCCCAAAGAGAGCATGACCTTCAGCAAGAAATCTGGCATCCTGGTCAATTAAGATCAGAGAAGAACACATCTTGCTGAAGCAGGCTTTCGAACACACAACCTCAGTGATGACAAGTAAACGATCACTATAGATGAACTCCTTAAACCACTTGGCCAAGGAAGCCCTTTTTCAATTTGAAATAATCCTACAAAGTGAATAAGGCTTGCAAATACAGCCAAGGATTATCATTGCTCGAAGGCATAAATGGCTTTCATAATGAAAAGTTTTGAAACTGAAAATACCTTAACAGGTTAACATCAACGTTTTAGGCATTTCCATTATAATGAATCCCTGATAACACTAAAGATTGCAAAAAATTAAAATATTTACGAGCATTTTAAAAAGTCAGCATTCTAAGCTTCAGAAATACAAACTTCGTATTTTGGAAACTACTTAAGAATGTTAGGCTCCTCAAACAGTGGTGTTTTACATCTAGCAGAAATAGCAGTCTGTGAAACAGTGGATCAATACTGTAAATTCAGAAATTATTGCGTGCATTTATTATTGCGATTTTGTCATTTTAGACTAAAATGCGATTTTAATTTTTGCGATATTGAGAAAAAGCCTGTTTAATTCATATAAAAAATTTCAAAATGCGAGTTTAAATTATTGCGATTATAACCCTGTCGCAAATATTCACAATAATAAAAACGTCGCAATAATTTCTGAATTTACAGTATGACATGTACATTAATGAAGAAATGAAAATTAACTGAACATATTGTATAACTTTAAAATTAATAGAAATTAATCTTTACCAGTATGCTACAAATATCTATGAAACATGGCAAACAACAGCTTTTTGGCATAAAACATATAATTTTATCAAAACTTGAATTAAAATATCCCCTTTACAACCAAGGCTTCCAAAACGGTCATATATTCCGGACATTTGTATAATGTCCGGTAAAAGTCCGGCTTGGCAAAGCACGAAATGGTCAACTACTTTTTAGATTTCAAGGCTTTCTTAAGAGACGGTCATTTTAACATAATTCGCGATCTTTTTGACCCAACCTTTTGCCTTTAACAGCCACACATTTCCGGTCATAAAAGTGACATGATCATTAAGTACTATCAAAACAACCCCTACTTTAATACCTTCACATTTTAATCAAGGCTAATTAGTTGTCGAACAGCTGAAATTTACCTGTTCAGGTGACAGGTAAACTATTTTGAACCGGACATTGATCGGTCTATTCAAAGTTATTTTCTTACATTTCACCGGTTTGCATCTAATTAATTTAGTCAAAAAGATTTAAATTATCAGAAATACATTTACAAATAAGATTTGATGAAAAAATTAAAGAGGTGAAAATGAAAAATCGTCATAACCACGTTGTTTGAACCAGAGACATGTCTCTGTTTGAACTAGTACATGTGTGCGCATGTGCATGTGCGCAGGTGTGAAATTAAATTATGCATCCTAATTTCTTAAAAAAATGCTTAAATTGTCATTGATACCTTTATCTCACGTTTATTTCGAATACTTTCTTGAAGAAATAACGTAGAATGAGCTACTTACACTCATTCATGCTTTGCAAACGTACACGGAATTTACGTATCCGTCTCTGGTCTATGTTTTACCATTGTCAAGATAACATCCGGTTTCAGATTAAAAACGAAAGTAAAGTTTTTGACTACGTTATTTTGCACAAATAAAGAGTCTAAGCAGATATAAGTACGCTGATGTTCCACACTTCGGATGATGCACTGCCAATTTAACAGTTTACGTCAGAACTTCGAATTTGAATCAAAGAAAGTTTAATATCGTTTTTTTTAAATATCATTCATTGGGATGGCCAACTCGGCAACTGATTACCATAATTGCCTTTTGTTTATTTAGTCTTAAGGGATTAAAATCGGGATAATATAAATCAAAGCACGAAAGCGCTGTAAAGGCAGTCAATTACAGGTTGTGTGTATTTTAAGTCCAGTTATATCATTATCTTGCATAGTACAGTGTACTTATCAGAGGTGGCTTTCAGTATTTAAGATTTAGAGTTCTCTAATGATATTGAATAAGTTTTATGAATGTCATATTCTGAGCACTATATGAAGGCGATTGTTCTCACTTGTTTATGAACTAGTGCATTATGTCCAGTTTGTACCTTTTTTATCTATGTTTATAGTCAAATTAGTTATCAAAGGTACCAGGATTATAATTTAATACGCCAGACGTGTGTTTCGTCTACATAAGACTCATCAGCGACGTTCAGATCAAAATAGTAACAAAGCCAAACAAGTACAAAGTTGAAGAGCATTGAGGACCCAAAATTCCCAAAAGTTGTGCCAAATACGGCTAAGGAAATCTATTCCTTGGATAAGAAAATCCTTAGTTTTTTCATTGGCAATCATAACACATCTCCTTATTTATATAATGATCTATATTCAACGACCTCAGGTACAAAAAAAATGTATGTAACTAAACTATGATGGGAAACCTTTGACTTCTTTCTTTATATAAACTTTTGATTTGGTACCATAGAACTATGTAGAGTAAATGTACATTGCAACATGTCAACTCTTTCAACTCCAAGCAAAATTATATTTCCAAGCATAAAGTAATTTATGAATGAAATAAAATGCTCCGCTGGGGCGCAGCTTGATACGACCGCAGAGGTCAAACCCTGAACAGTTGGGGCAAGTATGAACAGAACATTCAAGCTTGATTCAGCACTGAATTTGGATTGTAATTAAATATTTGACACAGCATAGGTTTCTGACACAGAATGAAAGTGGTCTAAGATACTTAAAAAAATTTAATTTACCTATTCAAACCATATCATTATTATTTGCTTTTATATATAAATCAGAAATAACCAATTTAAAATGGAAAATTTTAAAGAAAAAAAGTTTGAACCCCCTTATGATTCATCACCCCAAAACTCAATCCCAGCCTTCCCTTTGTGGTATGGTACCTTGCAGTACAATTTCAGAGAGATCCATACACTTGAACACATGTTTTTGTCTGGAAACTAGAAAAATGCTTGTTTTTTGGCCCCTTTTTGGTCCCAAATTCCTAAACATTTAGGGCAATTACCCCCAAACTCAAAGCCAGCTTTCCCTTTGTGATATGGAACCTTGTAGTACAATTTCATAAAGATCCATACACTTACATACAAGTTATTGCCATGAAACTAGAAAAATGCTTGTTTTTTGCCCCTTTTTGGCCCCTAATTCCTAAAATTTGGAGGCAATTACCCCCAAAATCAATCCCAGCATTCCCTTTGTGATATGGAACCATGTGATACAATGTTAGAGAGATCCATAGACTTACACACAAGTTATTGTCATGAAACTAGAAAAATGCTTCTTTTTGGCCCCTAATTCCTAAAATTTGGAGGCAATTACCCCCAAAATCAATCCCAGCATTCCCTTTGTGGTATGGTACCTTGCAGTACAATTTCAGAGAGATCCATACACTTGAACACAAGTTATTGTCTGGAAACTAGAAAAATGCTTATTTTTTAGCCCCTTATTCCTAAACTTTTTGGGCAATTACCCCCAAACTCAATTCCAGCTTTCCCTTTGTGATATGGAACCTTGTAGTACAATTTCATAAAGATCCATACACTTACACACAAGTTATTGCCATGAAACTAGAAAAATGCTTGTTTTTTGCCCCTTTTTGGCCCCTAATTCCTAAAATTTGGAGGCAATTACCCCCAAATTCAATCCCAGCATTCCCTTTGTGATATGGAACCTTGTGATACAATGTCAGAGAGATCCATAGACTTGCACACAAGTTATTGTCATGAAACTAGAAAAATGCTTGTTTTTTTCCCCTTTTTGGCCCCTAATTCCTAAAATTTGGAGGCAATTACCCCCAAAAATCAATCCCACCATTCCCTTTGTGATATGGAACCTTGTGGTACAATGTCAGAGAGATCCATACACTTACACACAAGTTATGTCTGGAAGTTACAAAAATGCTTATTTTTGGCCCCTAATTCCTTAACTGTTGGTACCATAACCCCCAAAATCAATCCCCACTTTCCTTTTGTGGTATTGAACCTTATTTGAAATTTCATTGAGATCCATTCACTTAAACTAAAGTTAGAGTGCGAAAACTAATGTGTCTTCGGACGACGACCATGCCAACGTCATACCAATATACGAGTATATAATACGACCACAAAATTTTTTTTGCGGTCGTATAAAAAGGAGTTCTTAATTAAGAAATAAACTGATTCGCTGAGCGCAGCTGGATACACCCGCAGAGGTACTACCCTGAACAGCTGGGGCAAAAATGGACACAATATTCAAGCTTGATACAGGTCTGAATTTGGATTGTAATTAAATATTTGACATATTATAGTTTCTGAATAAATGTAGTCAATGAACTTGAAATCGGTTATATGAATTGAATTTATATTCAATTAAAGATTTCTTGCTGTTGTGCAATACACTGTGCTGTTGTGCAATACTTAATAAATCTGTTGCCAGACTATAAACAAATAAAGTTCAATTTCTTCTCAATGTCATATTTGAAATTTATGAAAATCAATAGGGAGATTACATCAATAGCTATAAATAATTCACCAAAGTTTCATGTGAACTGCTTAAAGCAATTTTGAGTTGTTGTCCAAAAACTGGAAAATCCCCCCTTTTTTAATGAATAAAACCCCATAACTCAGAAATGTAAAATCTAAAATTTATAAAATTCTAAAGGGAGCTTACGGATTGATAATTTAGTCTTAGATGCAAGATTTTTTTATCAGTTGTTAGTGGCTTTGAACTAGCTGTCAGTAACTGCGAGTACTCTCAGATTTGTACTTAGTGTCTTTTTGTTGTTTGGATGTACAACTACCCAACCACGTCCACTTGTATTTATCCATCTGATGAGTTTAGCCTCTTTCAACTGATTTTTATAGTTCTTTCTTATATTGTACTGTTACACCACTGTACCAGGTTAGGGGGAGGGTTGGGATCCCGCTAACATGTTTAAGCCCGCCACATTCTGTATGTACATGTATGTGCCTGTCCCAAGTCAGGAGCCTATAAAAGTGTAATTCAGTGGTTGTTGTTTGTTTATGTGTTGCATATTTGTTATATTTGTTCATTTTTTTACATAAAATAGGCCGTTAGATTTCTTGTTTGAATTGTTTTACATTGTCATTTCTGGGCCTTTTATAGCTGACTGTGCAGTATGGGCTTTGCTCATTGTTGAAGGCCGTACCGTGACCTATAGCTGTTAATTTCTGTGTCATTTGGTCTCTTGTGCATGTGTGGAGAGTTGTCTCATTGGCAATCATACCATATCTTCTTTTTTATATTTACATCAACAGATATAAAAAATTCACCAAAGTCAAGGTGAGACAACAAAACTTAGTTGTAAGATCTCTGAAATTTTTTACAGGGTACGAGTTTTTCTCATTGTTGGAGATTGTACGGTGACAGTAACACCTGTAACTGCTTAAACCCATTTCTTATGCACTTTAGTTTGATAAACTCACTGAATATCATACCACATCTCCTTATTTTTATATGCATTACAATTTACATGTGCATGGAATTGTAAATATATATATATATCAGAACAAAATTCATTGCGTCACTTTTATTTATGCATCCTTTGGCACAATACAAGTTCTAAAATTACACAACATAAAACAACTAAATGTTATTTCAGATGAAAGTTTTGTTTCAGTTCCATTCATAGGATTTATTAGAATTTTGTATGTTTTGCCAAGTCCAATTATTCGCTCTATGTGACATAGAGACATAGTTGACTAAACCACCAGGTGTCGAACATTCAAGAATTTTCAGTGTTTCTGTTTTTATTTGATGAAAAGGTTGCCTGAGCTCTAGGAGCTTTAGGTTTTATCACAGGATATTCTGTGCTGTCAATAATAATCCAAGTCGTAGGAAACTTTAATTTGAAGTTGGATGGTGAAAAATACCTGACTAAACCACTAGATGGCCAAGTGTTAGCCTCACACCACTGTTTAGACATAAAAACAATCCATGTATACACAATATTCTGAACACTAGATTCAATCTAGAATCTAGACAGTTCAAAGTTGGTTGTATGATGCCTCAATTTCATCAAAGTCATAAAAAAACTGATTTTCAACTGACACCCTATCAATTTGAAAATATGTGTATCTCAAACAATAAGCTGCTGGACCAAGAGTGGTCAAAACAAATAAAAATTTAGTATACAACTCTAAACCGGTATAAAAATGCATGGCTGTGTCAAGTGTCTTCATTTCAAAATTCTCTGCGGAAAACATAGGCATTGATGGTGTTTGTGTAATTCCATCTGTGAAGCTCAACATTAGCTCGGCAGTTGGTGGTGGACAGTCATAAATCCTTTCTGCAGTATGAATGACTTCTTCAGGAAAACCAACTTTACAATCAAAACTTTCCTCTAGATTTTTACTACAATATTCATCAAGTTTAGTTCTTTTGTTTTCACAGGAAACTGCCCTGATTTTTCTTTTTGCGGACGATTCAGTCTCTTGCTTGGTCCAGGAAAATAGGCTGGGAATTGCAGTAGACTTAAGTCTCTGTATGGTGGGTTTGCGCCCTGAAAAAGGTTATAAAACATTAGTTTTTTTATAATTAAATGAACTTCCATTAGCAATGTATACTTTGTACTACCTGGCGAAATATTAACTGGATTTATTCATTACAATCTGGATAAAACTATGTTTGCCTGATTCAATGTATGTTATGTAAATCCAAAGGACAAACAATGAGAGACTTATGCAACAAACGTACATTGTTTGTACCTAAATAACTATAATATAGATGAGAGCATGTCATTGTTTTGTTCCTGTTAACATTGTCATTGATATTTTTCAAGAAAGTCTATGACTATGAGGCATAGCTTATGCATTCCTGTCATTACTACATTAGCATAATTACTGCTAAAATAATTCTCAGTATGATATACCTCTTGTAAGAAATCATTATAATTGTAGCAATCACCAAAAAATCTCAAACAGATCACATTGAATCGTAATCCAAAAAATTATGACGTCTTGAATTACCCACCCCCTTTTATTCTAAAACGATAATTGCGGTTGTAAACAGACTTTGGTTTATTCGCATGGAGATTACATATATAACTATATATTTCACAAAGAAAATAGAGTTTTACCATGAATAGTTTCCTGCACGTAGTCTTTTTCAGTAAAACGTGCCTTGCAAACAACAGCTGATTGAGATGGACTCCACGATATCATCGTGTTCTCGTCCAATCTGCGTATGGGCCATGGCGTTGATCCAACTTTTCCTTCTTTTTAAGTCATTTGGAAATGCATGTCCTCCTCTTAAATGACATCCAGGTACACAACAACAAGTACTTGGCATCGTTAATTAAGAATATAACTGAAATAGTTGCACAGTGCAGAAACCGGAAGAAGAGGAACAGGATCCGCTACCACGGCGCCACCTATTCAGGAACGATAATTTGCTACTTTATATAACTGCGAAAATAACGTTAGACGGGTTCACGTGCATAAACAGAAATGCGCTTTAAATTGTATAATATAATTCATGTTCAGTCGACCTTTAATTATTATATCAACGACTGAAATGATTTATAAACATCTAGATTGCAGATAACACTCGAAATTAACCCGAGCTCTTTCCACACGGAATTCAAATAATTCTAGTTTGTCAATCGGTTGACTGCTTATAATGCAAAATACTAATATATCTAAAGTTTTTAAAACTAACAAAACACAATGATCGTTTCTCTATTTCCCAATGTAAATGAAATGAAACAAAAAACATTTTATATCGCAATAAGAAGAGGAGAGAATTCAACATTTCCGGATCTACTTGGAGTCTAATGACCCCCCACGTAGATAAGTTGGATATCGCGGAAGGAAGGATTAACCCGGCAACTAGAAAGGCATTAAAGCACTGCCTTTAAAAATGTCCGGCTGGCTAAAAATGATTTTGGAAGCCCTGTTTACAACCCTCAATAAACTTTTTATCTTTGACTAACCTTTAGATGGTCCTTTCCTAAATATGGACTTAACTGTGTGTGACCGTTTGTTTGTTTGTTGGGTCTTCTTCTCTGCAAACTTAGAAAATGACGGTGGAACCTCTTCTAATGATGGTTTGCTGAAAAATGAGAAAAAAAACTTTAATACCTATAAAGAAGTTTGGGTGTTAACATCCATGTTTTACTCTGAAATTTAAACATTAAATATGACTATTACTTATTATCTCTCAAATATATGTTAAATATTACAATTATACTACATGCTCAAATTATTGAATATTAATAAAAGAAGATGTTGGATGTATGCATCAATGAGACAGCAACCCAATGACAAAAATATTCAAAATACTTTCAGAGTGTAACACACAGTCCTCAACAACAGATAGGTGTCATTACCACACATCAAGTCCCTAATCATTGCAATTCTATAAAAGCTGTGAATTAATTCAATAGAAAAAACCAAAGATGTGCCACCAAAACCAAAATCTCTAAAAACTATAATTATCAAAACATGACACAGGACAACCAACAATGAGGCCCCTAATTTGGGACAGGCAATAGAAAATGTTATGGCAGTCTGTGCCAAACTCTTTTGGTTTCTGTCTGACATTCGGTCAGACATTGTTGAAAGTTTTGTCTGACCGAACAGATTTTTGTCTGTCCAAATTTTTTTTTTTTTTTATTTTTTGAGCTTATTGTGTTGTTTATGTTTTAAATGTACTGTGTTGTTTTATGATGATATTCATTATTGAATTTTCTCTCTGGTCTGTGCTCCTCATATTTTTGTCATGATTGCTTCCTTCATCAGTCAGGTTACGTTTCAAGGGATAGCCCCTTGAACATACTTCAGAGTAAACAGTTTACAAATAAGTTTTCATTTCTATCGATCTGTTCGCACGCATAACAAAATACAATAAGTCAAAGAACCGAGTCTGACAAGGTTGGGCGGTAAATACTGCCCCTGGTATTTACTGCCCCGGACAATACTCCTCAAGTGGTCAATACTGGCAAATACTGGTCGATTGAAATTTTCATGGTGTTTTTTTCTATTTATTGAAGTAAAAAATGATAAAAAGTAAGATATATTTAAACTTTTATCTTTTGGCATGTTCCAGCTGATATAAATGAATTAATTTGATATGTTTTATTCATTTCACTCAAATTATTTCAATTACCTTATAGTAAAAACGAATTATTTAAATGCTCAAAAAGGCACAAGCCAGGGCCGACCGTGCAGGGGCTGTTTAGCCAGTCAAGGTCGTTAAAAACACCATTCATCATCATTTTATTCATTTTTAACACTTATACCTACTAATTTAGTCCTTATAAGTTATGATATTGTATATTTTAGATATATATAAAGAATTGACAAATTAATTATTACAACATTTTTCAATCAAGATATTTTTTATTGTAAATGCATAATTTTTACAGGTGCATAAAACTACAGGTAACTGAAGTTACAGGTGTCTTATTACCTATCACCTGGCATTGCTAGGTGTGAAAATTTAATTACTATAAAAACAACAACCCCCAATAATTGATGACAAAACATGGTTGAAAGTAATAAAAGTGATATTTGAAGACTCACTTAAACAATAAAATATTTCCTGTCTATTAAATGAAAGACAAAAATCATCTTTTTGCAGAAACTGGAAGGTATGAAGGACCTTTACTCTTATGGCTGAACTGTAATTTATGTTTTAAACCAAAAAATATATAATGTAGTATAAATTTTACCTTTACATAATCAATATTTACATAATTTACATACACATAGTACAACCATCTTGACCTTAAGCACCAAACTGAAACGGTTAACCTGGAGACCCTATTTGGAACTTTTAAACAATATACATGATATAAGACAACAACAAAACCAGTGCAAAATGTAATGATTGCAATGCTATAGTCAGTGCAAAAGCCACCTGATGAGTTTCCTTGACAGGGACAAAACATTTTTATCTTATGTACTAATAAATCATTGTAAATCACTGTTTATTAAGAATTTACAATAATAATAGAAATGAGAACAGTTAAAATGACTTTAAAACTTTCATTATTTCATTACTAAAAGTAATTGACCAGGTAGAGAGTGGTTTTGTAGAAATGTCCACTCAAAATTTCAATCGACCAGTATTTGCCAGTATTTGCCGGTATTTACCACCGGCATGGTCAATATTAGTATTGACCGCTTTTTTGCCAACCTTGAACCGAGACGGTGAAAACACTGTACATACAGACCGGAATTAACATACAATTTCACGGACCTGCATCTATTTCATCGGTCAGGACCGTCAGACCGATGGCATTTGGCACAGACTGTTATGGTGTAAAACTAAATCAACCAGACCTCTAAATCTTGATCAGAAGACCAAAACATTTTGTACAATAAACATTTTTTAAATACCTCTTGGATTGCTGTTGTTCATCATGGTCCTGCTGAGCCTGTTTTGCTTTAAGGTACACCTCTTTGTAACATTTAGAACAAAATCCCTGCCAGTTTGGGTTCCCATAGAAACCACAGCCATTGTCACACAACAGGTCATCTTTATTGAGATGGAAACCTTTCTTTGCAATTGTAGCACTCATTCTGTGCTTTATCTACACTGAAATAAAGTCAAGGAGATACTGTAAATTCATAAATTATAGCATGTATTTGTTTATATTGTAATTGTTGAGCAATGGACAAAATGTGAGACTAATTCTTTTCAGGATATGTTGCATACAAATAATGCTATAAAATTTTTAAACGTGAAAACTATCCTGTTGCAAGTTTCAAAATAATAAAAACATTGCAAAAAGATTTTTTAATTTACAATATACCATGATATACACATGTGTATATGTAATTGAAATCAATATCATGAATATGGTCAACTGTCTAAAAAGTAAGATTTTGTTTTGGATTTCTTAACATTTCTTAAATTTTATACAACAGTGATTTTGTTGTGAGGGAGCAACAAATTATGTGAAATTTTTTTTTGGTGTTTTTGTTGTTGCCCTTTTTTTTCTAGTGTACTAGTTGGGTATACAGTGGTATATGACCTTTGCAGATCTGTCATTGAAGTCATCTGCATTATTTTCTACTCTGATAAAGGACAGATGGAGAAGATAATGAGGGACAATAAGTAACAATTTGTATTAATTAATCAAGTACTTTTAGTTTATTTTAGCATTTGTTAATTTACATGGCATAGTTAAATTGATCTTCATTATATACAATAAGAAGATGTGATTGCCAATAAGACAACTACCCCCTAGCAACAAAATGATGTTGATATCAATTGGTGATTTGACAGTCGCAAATGTAGTTTTACTTGGGAAGCATAGCAGAGCCAGAAAAGCAGATAATTGCGACTGTCAAATCAAAATTGACTGCAGCAACTCTTCAACAACAGTACTGGTATTCCTATTCTAATGCTTTACAAAAAGAAATTGTCATGATTGTACATAAGAGCTTGTAAAAATGTATAAATTTAAGATAAAATAAATTTCTGCGAAAATTCATTAATAATTTTGCTGCAAGAACATTATGGCAAAACCTGACTTCATACAAATGAAAACTTTCAAACCAAAGGTTATTTCGATATTTGTATGATTCAGATTTCGAATAATATCTCATTGAAACAGCATTTTTTTAGGCAGTTTAAGTTGACTGCTAAGATTAAATTGGATCATGTGGATAAATCCAACATTTCGGATTCTAGCAATTCAAAATGGTGGCCCAAGACATGTCAATTGAGGATTTGATGGTAAATTTTAACCAATAAAAAAAGTTGTTACGTTAAGATTGCATTAGAATTTCTGGTATATAAAGTATCCTTTTGTATATCTTTTTCCCACCAGTGTGTTTTAATTCCATGGCAAATAAAAATCAAGGAAAAAATCTATGGAAGTTTTACACTTAAGAGATAACTGTATTATATTTGAAGCTTTGCGGACGTACATCGGTAGTTTTACTGTCGCAAATTTAAACCTGGCGACGCGTAGTGGAGACAGGTAAACGGATATTTGTGACAGTAAAACTACTGATGGACTTACGCAAAGCTTCAAATACAATACAGTTATCTCTATTCTAATGCAAAATAAATACATAATTCAATTTAAGTCATTAATTCAGTGTAAAATTTTCATTAAATGAAAATTCCACAAAATGATGTTATCTTCTTTGGCCCCTAAACCAGGTGACCTCATAGGTATGCTTCCTGCATCAAACTTCTACATCAGGCATTTTCTTGCTTCTTGACCGCTTCAAAATGTAATAAAATTTGATATAAAGGAGATTTCTAGGTGCAAAATGTGAGTTTTTTGCTTATTATTGGAGTAAATACATGTTCAATACATTCCGGAATTCAAAATGTCGGCTTCCTTAGCTACAGATAGGGAGATAGAGAATTTTACGCGTACTGTCGTCCAATCAGAACCATTGATATAAAATAATTGCATTAGAATTTAGAATTTATTCTAAACAGACAGAATACACTGCCTGCAATGACCAACTGTTACATATGTGTGCCACTAGAGACAAGTACAATGTATGTGTTACACTTGTCTAAAGAGCTACTTAAGTTTAAATGCACAGGTACAAATGTACATATACATGATATATAGTAGAAATAATTGGAATCTAACAGTATCTGGTTATATCTCAGGTATCATAGTACATGTATGTTTACTTATGTATTCTTTGGCCCCACCCATTTGACAACTTCTTCATGCAACTAAACACTAAATATTGCAGTACATTTTACGTTAAGAAATGACGAAAATATCAACTTTAAATAATGCATGTTTGTTTTGTTGTTGAAATCAAGTGAATGTGAAATTTTATTTAGATCAGAATGTTCAGCTCCCTATGTTCATGACGTTCACAATGAACACATGATGAAGGGTAGGACATTTGATGATCGATTGGAAACAATCATTAAATTACCGACAAGAGCCCTCTCCAACACAGTATTTTTGAAGAAATCATATCAAACATATGTTTTTCATTAAATATAAGTTTGAAAATAAAAACTTTAATTTTGAAAGAGGAGATTGAATTCAAAGTGGTAGTGTAGACAGCCTATACAGGGCAGCCCATAATGATATGGTCTCTTGAATAGGGTATATATACATGATATATGAAGTCATTTTAGGTGCTGATAATGTCTTTAATATTATTATAATGGGAATTTTTGTTTTGAATTAAAACTGTCTAAAGCTTAAACATAAAAGTATCCTGTCATGCATTTATGTTTTATTACACTTACTACAATTACTTGGTAGTGAACAAATTTCTGCCAATTAACCATTGTTAAGGTTCATCATAACAAATGGACAAAAATGGCTGTATTTACACCTCAAAAACTACTCTGTGTACAGACTAACCTGTCCAGTTTGGAAAGTTTTAAGGCCTGGCATCCACTAGATATATAAAAGTTAAATGCATTTTTTGTTTCAGAAAGATAGATATAATCACTTTTGGATTTTGATTGGCATTTTTTTTCCTTTCTGCAGAAGGTGTAAAAATAAACAAACACCTGAATTGCTTTGATACTGTCCACTCAGTTAAACCCTTTAACTCACCTATAAATGTGTAGATACCTATTGTCTGTCTATTGTCCGTGTCAATCAAGGACAATCAATACAATACAATACAGTATCTTTCTGAAACACAAAATGCATTTAACTTTTATATATCTAGTGGATGCCAGGCATAAAACTTTTCCAACTGGACAGGTAAGTCTGTACTCAGAGTAGTTTTTGAGGTGGAAATACAGCCATTTTTGTTCATTTGTTATGATGAACCTAATTAACAGTCAAGCCAAACAAAGGATGTGTTGCATGAAAGGAAATCTTGCAAGACCTCATGAAATACAACATATTTCCATTCAGTGTATGCAAACCCACCACAATATTCAAATCACTCTTACTTTAAAAACCCTTGATGAGAATGATGTAGATAAACATGGCTACTTGTGAGATTATGCAGTCACAGTGCTAAGAATAAGAAAGTTGAGAAACGAATGGGGCAAAGGTGCACAGAATTGATATGACTTACTATCATTCTCAATGTTACATGCAAAAACGTAGATCTCCTATAGTCCGCACAGCGCAATGCTACTTTAGGAAATGTTTTCTATAAAATTTTTAGAGCCAGAGAGAATACATACTTTTTATGTAAGAAAACATCAATTTCGGGATAATGTAAAGTGTAATTAGCTTTTAAGTGTGTTTCTTTGAAAAATAAATTTATGGTTTACCTGTTGATCAAGCTTTAAAATGTCTATAAATGACACATAACTCATTTATTGTCACAAGATCATTTTTTGTATCGAACGTCTCAAGAGGTGAAGGTCGAAAGGGGAGCTAACTGTTACGCGCTAACAGTAAAATAACAATATGTTATGTCCTATTAAAAGTTATCGTTTTAACAAATTTTAGAAAAAAAATATATAAACAATTTGCCTATGATAAATACGTCTCATTTTCAGTTTAAAGATAAAATTTGATTGTATATTATTATTGATTATTTACTTTAGTAATTTATTTACCTGTATTATCTTCTCTCAACAAAGGGGGCGTGGCAGATTTAAAGTGAAACTGAAAGTTGAGGAAAACAAAAACGTAAGTAAGTCTCATCTACGAATTACATCGCTCTTGCATAACCATTTTTATGTAATACTGAACTAGGACACCCTCTCCCTATTTAGGTTTTTACTTGAAGATTGAGCTGTAAATGTAGATCGTGGCTTGTTTTACAATTTGGATAGACAATGTAAATTGCCGGTTTATTTTAGTTTGAGGCCATTCTGTACAATTTAACGTAATCATAAATAATTGTAAAGTCAAGTTACACTTGTATAATCTATTGCTTTGCAAAAGGACACAAATCAGAACAATATCAGGTTAAGTTCAAGAAAATAATCTATTGCAATATATTTTACGGACTATTTTACATTTTTATTCACAACTCATTGTCATTATGCAATTATAGCCGCCTATGGTAACACATTGACTTATAGATAAAACACTTCATATCTAAAGGGTCCATGAAGTCAAATTAGGTTGCAAAATGAGACGATAAACGAAAAACAAAAACTTTTTTTTAAAGTAAGAACTAATTTTGAGACATTCGAGTCGGAACTTATTTTTCTCCCTCTTCCATTGTAAAGTCAGAATATTATATCGATCCTGGGAACAGTATATCAATATATATATATGTTCCTGATCGATCCAAGAGAAAATCTTTCAGTACATGTATTTGTTCATAAGCATATATATTCATGCTCAGAGGCCTTTTATGCTCAGTGTGAATTCCAAAGGTCATCTCACGAAGTTTCCAAGTCAAAAGGTCATGTACCTGTGAATTAAGCTTAATCTAATCTGCTGCTGGTTAGCCTCAAAATTGACATGGTTCCGATATGGAAAATAAACACATTAAGAGTATCAGACTACCGGATTCAAGTCAGGACCAAAAGGGTGAATGGAGCAATGCAAGTTGACGGGATAAACTATCTTAATATTTGTCTGTTTTTTTTTATCAAGCCAACCAAAAAAGAAGAAACTTTATCTCAGTTTTATAGCTATATTGATTAGCAAGATAGGACATTGAAATGTCAATATATGATATCTTGACCATTTCTAATCTATCTTTAAATCGTTAGGTAGGACATGATAAAATATTTGAATTGAAAGTAACTTTCATATTTCGTACACAGACAATTCCGACTGCATGAAAGTAGTGGGTTGAACCAAATTAAAAAAATACGTACGAACATATATACTTCTGAACTGGTTTCGAAGATATATGAAGTTAATAAAAAGCTCAAACTATATATATATGTTAACACCAAAGCAAGTTTAAAATATGGAAGAAATCGTTCTCGAGGAAAACAAAATTAACAACAATTTGAAAAATCCCTCAAAATATGTGAACTATCCATAATAAGTAGGATGAAAAACTTAATATTCTTTCGGTCTTAACTAAAACGAAAAACCTTTTGAATGTATAACACCATGAAGCAGGAAATCAATCGCGGATGCAGAAAAAAAATGAAAAAGGTAACTTAATTCAACAGATCTGGAGCTGTCGTTATCATCAGCTTTAAATTTCTGGATGTGATCTAGCGGAAGGAAGCTTAAGAGCAGGATGATGGTTTTAACGTCCATTGCTTATATTGCTTGCATATCAGGACGAGAACATGAATACATTATCCTAATGTTGTAATGTAAACCACTAGAAATTCACAGACGTCAATTATAAAAAAAACTATGATACATGTAAGGGAATCTGGTATGAAATTGTTCTACTGTTATTGTTGACCCCAAACGAATCATATTCTCTTTAATGAGGTATTTTTTTTCTACCAGATGGCAAAGGTTAGTGTACGAAATGTTAACATCAAGGTATTAAAATAATTAATACTTTTCTTTTCTTCTATTTTAATCTTCCAATTTAGAAGAGGTCGTAGAGTGCACACCTCGATTACGACAATTTTTAAGCTTCGTTGACGATTATGACTTTTCTGAAATTCATGCGACATTACGACATTATCTTGTTTCATATTTGATAAGATACTTAACAGTCTTTCAACACGTTCAAGAATCTGCATGGTCTTGACTATTTCTTTTATATCGTCTACGTATGATGCCACTTGCGCGAATTGGTTCGAAAATGGTATTTTACAGCCAGCTTTTTGTGGTAATGTTGTTTACAAAGCAAAAAAAATTAAGAAATACCCCTCAAGTCTCATTTTGGCTAAATAAACGTATTGATAAAGTTTATAGTTCTAGCATCGTTATTTTATCATTAGGTCTCTTATTATAGTGTTTCTTACTCGGTGCCTTTTGTTATTCCTGTGATCGAAGTTTCAATATTTACAAAACTACAGTTTCACCTACGATATGTAAATATGACTTTCCCCGACCTGCCAAAGTAAGAATCCTCGTCAGCGGCTCTTGTCCTGACATGCATGAAATATTTGCCACTGGAAGTTAAGCAACCAAGAATCAATCAATCAATCGTCAGCAACTGTCTTTGGTGTCGATGCCAAATCTTTGGTAGTCTATTTTAAATACGTTCATTACTTTTAGTCTCGAAACATTTGTGATATGAATTCATATACTAGTATTTCAAAGATCTTATAGTGTCTTTTTTTTTCCTTTTTGGGTTTCGATTTTATGATGTTGATTATTTGCTGTTTCATTTACATTTTAAGTTATATATAGTCCACTTCTCCCTTTATTATCAGAAGAATTAGGAATGTTATATGCCAGTAATATATGAAACATGTTGTTTTAATGTTCATACAATTTATTTCGATGTGAAAGAAGATCTTTTTTCTTTAACAGTAGTTTTTCAACGAAGCAAACAGACTAGGACTTGTTTTCGAGATGTAAACCTTTACACATACACAAAATACGCCTAAATGGTGACTCTACCCAGTATGTTACAGGGACCTCTGCAGGCCCTACTCCGACCTGCGATGTGGATCCCAGGCATAAAAAATCTACACAGCCATTTTGTTACGTGAGTTCAGTAATTTTATAAAGACGTTTTGCCTAAATGTTCAAATCAAACCTTGCATTGAATAATGACTTAAGCATGTACATGTGGGAGAGAGGAGATCCCGAAAAGTAGAAAGGACATTCTACATTGAATCGGTTTTCACAACTTTTCCCCACGAACCCTTTCTCTTAAGATCTGCTAAGATTTCTCTGAATATAAATAATGCAAGTAGTATTCGGCAATGGGTATGAGGTGAAGTATTCGATATCTACATGTTTTGCCCTCATTCACCATAACTATGTTTTTCTCTTATTAATTGATTGATAGTGTGTTAATTCCGCGCTAGCAATAGAAAAGAAAGGATATTGGGTATCCATCTATGACACAAAATCAGTACATGCACAGCAAAAAACACAAAAAGCAAAGGAACAGCACTTTTATTATTATTCATCTCAAAGATACAATGAGGCCTTCAACACGCAAAAACTCTCACCTTACTGCAAGTTTAAGACGGTCCCTAGCACCGCTTTGAGCGGAATGGTAAGCATGGATTATATCGCGGTGATTTTTTTCATCAAAATAGCATGATTAAAAAAGTCAGACATAAGAACCTGCTATCAACTAGATTAAAATTGTTATTTAAAACAAAATTATCATAGACTAACGCAGAGCTTTATAATTATATCAAATAGATAGGCCGTGGGGTGACCTATAGTTGCTTACATTCCCATCAGCTAGACTCTAGTGGTTAGTTGTCCCATTGACAATCGTACCACATCTCTTTATTTTCATAATTTGAATAGCTTTGAGATATCCGTACGAACATCTACATGTTTCTTATTGGAAACACAAACGTTGCATATTAATTTAACATATAAAAATAAGAAGATGTGGTATGATTGCCATTGGGACAACCCTCAACCAGATACCAACTGACGTAGAAGTTAACAGCTATAGGTCACCGTATGGCCTTCAACAATGAGCAAAATCCTTACTTGTTTGATTTAGACTTGATGTAATAAAGTTATCATTTGTTTTACAAATATTTATATTTGATCTTTGAAATACACTAAACGCGAGTAGATTAAGATTTGATGAAGAATTTGTTTTCCTTAATGAAGATGGCAGTCTGATAAACCACCGACCGAGGTACTAGCTGCATTGGTTAGTGCAATAAAACAGATCAAGTCAGCAGATGACACAGGTTCATATTATGATATACACAAGGTAAATATTATGAAACTTTAAAGTAGACAAGATACACATGCATGGAAAGAACTGGCTCTTTGGTCACGGACCTCCTCTTTTCTTAAGAGCAAGAACATAATATAAGTAAGTGAATATAAGTTGAAATATTAAAGATTTTTGCTAAAAAATAACTTGTGATACAAGAGAGGCCAATGCCCAAAGCGTCTGTCATGGAAAGATGTACATAACCCGACAAGCGTCCTGATGAAGTAACTGTACTGTGGTAAATCGGATGCTAAGTTCTTAAACCTGGTGCAATTTTTCTACCAATTAGTGAATTAACCAGAAAACAAACAAGTTATATATATATATATTGTAATCCACTTTTTACGCTTGCGCAATATTGTAACAGAGAAATATATGTGACAGTTCAGGGGTTGTAACAGAATTTTTCAAAATGTTTGTGTTGCAGGTTTTTTCTGATACTAGTATTTATTGTAATAAGAATAGACACTTTTCACTCTTTTTTCAGTAATTATGATTTAAAATATTTGGAGTACTTATGTTGGTTGAACCAAAGACACTCAATATAAGTCCTTTCATTTATGAATTTTGATAAATTAAATTTTGATTTATAAAATGGTTATACAGGCAGCTACAGTTTTAACACTGATTGAACCAATAAGATCTTTGTCTTTATAGATTAACAAAGACAAATATTTCCTACGTGTGTTTTGTTTTACCAGAGCGGAATGGTTGGATGTTGTCGAGATTGAAATAAAAGAAGATAGCATCGAGGTATCTTATCATCTAATTAAGTGTTATAGTGTTCTTTTATTTGTCTTTGTAAATTATTAACGTTTACTGTTTAGTCCATTTTTAGTAATATCCTTTAGGCGTGGCTCTGTACTTGTATATCCCGCCATGGTGTTGTGCTGTGGTCATTTTTTTTGTATTCTTGTGTTTCATTTTTGCGTATGTGCTTTGTCTTTATGTTATTTTGTTTTTCTTTGTTGACATATTTGTTTGTTTTTATAATGATTGAGATTATAACACAATGCTGACTGCTGTACCCCTATTTTTGATATTTTTACCTATTATGTCTGTTTGTTTTGTTCACACATTGTTGTCAATATAATGGAATTTTATGCGACTGTCATACAAGTGAGAGGTTTAGCTAGCTTTAAAACCAGGTTTAATCTAACATTTTCTACATAAGGAAATGCCTGTACCAAGTCAGGAATATGACAGTTGTTTTCCATTCGTTTGATGTGTTTGAGTTTTTGATTTTGCCAATTGTTAAGGGATTTTCCGTTTTCAATTTTCCTTGGAGTTCGGTATTTTTGTTGTTTTACTTTTTACAATCCTTTTCACAATGAACAGAACTGACTAATGAACGTCACGCACACGTATTTTTTCGTTAGCTTTTCTTGCCTGAATATTGAATAGAAGTTACGATGTCCTTAGTGCATCCCGAATTGACACATAGATTTTCTGAAATACAGAGCATTATCTGTGTAGATTCGAATACATAGAAGACTTCAAACTGTGATGATTATAGTTACAAAATGGCCAAATGCTGTGTTTAAAACGGAACTTAAAAAAAGCCTCTTGTCAATTTTTCTATGAAGTAGAAGGCTGTTAAAACATGTGTGAGACAGATATAACCTTTTTATGGTAAATTCAACGATACACAGAATAAAAGAAGTTCTTTTTTTTCAGGCAAAATCTTTTTCAAGCGGTTTTCTGCCATTGTTCATACCATTTGCATTTATACTTAATTGCGTAAGTATGTTTTGATGTTTACCTTATATGAATGAACATGCTTACAGAACACGAAAGTACCAACAACCACATAATCTATGAAAATGAATTTTTAAAACATATTGAAATATCTATTGGTCAGGGATGGGGTGAATTCCTAGTTGCATTTGTCAAATATCGCAAAAATGAGGAGTTGTTGCAAGGGTTCTTAAATTGCAGAGGGTGAAACAGTCTCACAAAAAAGAATCTGCTTAAGGTGTGAATTGCCTTGTCTAACTAGAAGTTCAAAACTTGTGTTTGAATCATGGTCTTTTTTTGTTTTTTGACAATGAAATAAATGTTTAAAGTTTAAATTCCGATTGAAACAACAAAAAACTTAATGTATAACTTCAACAGATACAAAAACCATACAAATCCCAAATCGAAGTTTCCTTTTCACCTATTTATACATTAAGGGACGTTTGTAAATAAAACACTGTTTTAATGCATGTACCTGAACGTATATGTGGTATATTTGTTCATAGACTTCAATTTGTGTTATCTAGTCAAAAAATGAAAACATAATATTTTAAAGGAGTAGGACGGTATGACCCTTTTTTTGGTCCCAAAATATAGCATTTTTAACCGGATTTTCGAAGGAAATATCGGTAATTTAAAAAATGGTGATGTACGGCGGGCGGCTGGGCGGATCTACGGGCGGCTGCCAAACAGTGTCAGCACAATAACATGAAAACGCTTTAACAATTTTTTTTTCAAATTTAAATATGTTGTTTCCTGGGACTTAATGAAGGTCTTGTTCAATTTTCAAGATTTTAGTATATCTCCTTTGTGAGTTATCGCCATTGCTAATATCCAAAAGTGGAATTTTTAAATATTTTACTCTTGTTATCTTTTTTATGACTAAGCATAATGTCTTATCTCACAATAAAAATTGGAGTGACAGATTTATTTGAAAATTATCTATTTCCTAATTGGTAATGATTATAAGCTATATTATTAGACATTTTGAAGTTAATTACATTATTAATTATTAATTAGATCTGGGTTATATCTTAGCATATAATATCATTGGAGTGACAGATTTATTTGAAAATTTTCTGTTTCCTGATAAGATCTGTAGGACTGTATATATAAAGTTTGAAATTTACTAGAAGGACTGTATAAATGAAATTTGAAATTTACTGTTCATTATCAGACATTTTGTAGATAATTAAGTCTCCCTAAACCATATATATTCTTACCCCCACCCCCCTTCAATTTGAGAATGTGCTTTTATCTTGTAAATGGTTGAGATCCCCACCCCTAAACCATAGATATACTTGTATGGGACAAAAAAACAAATCAAATGAAATATTTGGGGAGTCCCCGGGTTCACCCGCACCCCCCTTCTCTTTGAAAACTTGTAAACGGTCAAGATCCCCACCCCGAAACCATATATCATCTTGTATGGGACAATAAAACAAATCAAATGAAATATAAGGTGAGTCCCCTGGGGTCACCTCTACCCCCTCCTGTTTAAGAACTTGTAAACGGTCGAGATCCCCACCCCTAAACCATATATATTCTTGTATGGGACAATAACACAAATCAAATGAAATATAGGGGAAGTCCATGGGGGTCACCCCACCCCCTTCTTTTTGAAAACTTATAAACGGTTAAATTCCCCACCTTGAAACCACATATATTGTTGTGTGGGACAATAAAACAAATCAAATGAAATAAAAGGCGAGTCCCCTGGGGGTCACCCCACCCCATCCTGTTTAAGAACTTGTAAACGCTCGAGATCCCCACCCCTAAACCATATATATTCTTGAATAGGACAATAAAACAAATCAAATGAAATTGAGGGGGAGTCCCCTGGGGTCACCCCCACCACCTTTTTTTTGAAAACTTGTAAACGGTCAAGATCCCCACCCCGAAACCATATAAATTCTTGTATGGGATAATAAAACAAATCAAATGAAATATAAGGCGAGTCCCATGGGGTCACCCCCACCCCTTCCTGTTTAAGAACTTGTTACTGATAAGTTTTATAGATTTTGAAATGACATTGTATTAATGATAAATAAAATTTTGGATTTTTTTCTTCTTTTCTTTGGTAAATTGTTTGTAGAATTTTGTGGCAAGTTTATTTGTTATTCTGTAAAAACTAATTTTTCTGAATGCTATATATTTTTTTTTTGATGTAGTAAACTCCTTTAAAAACTAAGCTTATATTGTCTATTAATAAACATATATTAAGATTTCTGATTTTGGGCCCAGTTTTCAAGTTGGTCCAAATTGGGGTCCAAAATTAAACTGTGTTGATTTCGACATAAATTGAATATATATAGGGTTCTTTGAAATGCTTAATCTAAACCTGTATTTCTTTTCATGATTAATAAGATAATACCACATTGAGGTCCAAAGGGTCATAAATTACACTTTTGATTAATTTCATCAAAAATTGAATTCTTTGGTTCTTTGATATGCTGATTCTAACAATGTTTGAGTGTTAAATCATATCTAATTTTAGAGAACTTAGTCATCACTGGTTGTTGTTATTATATTATTGATTATAATTTGAAAAATTGCATCATATCTTATTTTAGAGAACTATTTATCCAGTTTGAGTCATTTCCCTTTGCACAGAAAATATTATGGATAAAATTAACCTGTGTTTCATTTCAACATAAATTAAATATATATAGGGTTCTTTCAAATGCTGAATCTAAACCTGTATTTAAATATTAGATTTTTAGGCCCAGTTTTCAAGTTGGTCCAAATCAGGGTCCAAAATTAAACTTTGTTTGATTCAACAAAAAAATAATTTATGGGGTTCTTTGAAATGCTGAATCTAACCATGTATTGAGAGATTTTGGATTGTGGGTTCCTTTATCAAATTGGTCCACATTGAGGTCCAAAGGGTCTTAAATTAAACTTTTGTCTGATTTCATCAAAAATTGAATTATTGGGGTTCTTTGATATGCTGATTCTAATATGTACTTAGATTTTTGATATTGGACCATAATAGGTATTTAAATGTTCAATTTCAAGTATTTCTGTTCTTAAACCACATTCTTTTTGTGTCACAAACCTATGCTGTGTCAAATATTCAATCACAATCCAAATTCAGAGCTGTTTTAAGCTTAAATGTAGTGTCCATACTTGCTCAACTGTTCAGGGTTCGACCTCTGCAGGAAAATCCGGTTTGCTGTCACTCTGACAGCCTCTTGTTACAATTTAACCGGATTTTCGAAGGAAATATCGGTTATTAAAATGGTGATGTACGGCGAGTGGCTGGGCGGATCTACGGGCGGCTGCCAAACAGTGTCAGCACAATAACATGAAAACGCTTTAACAATTTTTTTTAAATTTAAATATGTTGTTTCCTGGGACTTAATGAAGGTCTAGTTCAATTTTCAAGATTTTAGTATATCTCCTTTGTGAGTTATCGCCATTTTTAATATCCAAAAGTAGAATTTTTAAATATTTTACTCTTGTTATCATGTTATGATTTGTCTTATCTCAGAATAAAAATTGGAGTGACAGATTTATTTGAAAATTATCTATTTTCTAAGTGGTAATGATTATAAGCTATATCATTAGACATTTTGAAGATTATTACATTATTAATTATGTTAGAGTACTATGTTAAACAACCATAGTTCTGTTCAATTAGATATTAGAAATATTTTAGCATATAATAATGATTTATTTTCATTATTAATTAGATCTGGGAAATATCTTAGCATATGATAATCATTGAAGTGACAGATTTATTTGAAAATTTTCTGTTTCCTGATAAGATCTGTAGGACTGTATTCTTACCCCCACTCCCTTCAATTTGAGAATGTGCTTTTATCTTGTAAACGGTCGAGATCCCCACCCCTAAACCATATATATTCTTGCATGGGACAATAAAACAAATCAAATGAAATAAAAGGCGAGTCCCCTGGGGTCACCTCCACCCCCTCCCGTATGAGAACTTGTAAACGGTCGAGATCCCCACCCCTAAACCATATATATTCTTGTATGGGACAATAAAACAAATCAAATGATATATAGGGGAAGTCCAGAGAGGTCACCCCCTTCTTTTTGCAAACTTGTAAACAGTCAAAATTCCCACCCCGAAACCATATTTATTCTTGTATGGGACAATAAAACAAATCAAATGAAATAAAAGGTGAGTCCCCTGGGGGTCAACCCCACCCCCTCCTGTTTAAGAACTTGTAAACGGTCGAGATCCCCACCCTAAACCATATATATTCTTGTATGGGAAAATAAAACAAATCAAATGAAATATAGGGGAAGTCCATTAGGGTAACCCCCACCCCCCTTCTTTTTGATAACTTGTTAACGGTCAAGATCCCTACCCCAAAACCATATATATTCTTGTATGGGACTATAAAAAAAATCAAATGAAATCTATGGGAAGTCCATTAGGGTTACCCCCACCCTCCTTCTTTTTGAAAACTTGTAAACGGTCGAGATCCCCACCCCTAAACCATATATATTCTTGTATGGGGCAATAAAACAAGTCAAATGAAATTTTGGAGAAGTTCCCTTGGCAAACCCACCCCCCCCCCCTTCTTTTTGAAAACTTGTAAACGGTCAAGATCCCCACCCCTAAACCATATATATTCTTGTATGGGACAATAAAACAAATCAAATGAAATATTGGTGGAGTCCCCGGGTTCACCCCACCCCTTTTTTTTGAAAACTTGTAAACGGTCAAGATCCCCACCCTGAAACCATATATATTCTTGTATGGGACAATAAAACGAATCAAATGAAATTAAAGGCGAGTCCTTTAGGGTCAACCCCACCACCTCCTGTTTGAGAACTTGTAAACGGTTGAGATCCCCACCCCTAAACCATATATATTCTTGTATGGGACATTAAAACAAATCAAATGAAATTTAGGGGAAGTCCATGGGGGTAACCCCCACCCCTTCTTTTTGATAACTTGTAAACGGTCAAGATCCCCACCCCGAAACCATATTTATTCTTGTATGGAACAATAAAACAAATCAAATGAAATAAAAGGCGAGTCCCCTGGGGTCACCCCCACCCCCTCCTGTTTAAGAACTTGTAAACGGTCGCGATCCCCACCCCTTAACCATATATATTCTTGTATGGGACAAAAAACAAATCAGATAAAATTTAGGGGGAGTCCACTGGGGATCACACCCCCCCCCCCCCCCCTTTTGATAACTTGTAAACGGTCGAGATCTCCACCCCTAAACAACCATATATATTCCTGTTCGTCATTTCAAGAAGATTTGAATGACATACAGGGTCAATCCATAGGCGTCACTTATGCATATCACAAACCAATTTGTACTGGACTTTGGCCAATGTCAGGTGACCATGTGAATGACGAATTATTGGAGCATTGTTTGGGAGACATCGTAACAGCATCCTGTTACAATTATTTCTTGTTACTGATAAGTTTTATAGATTTTGAAAAGACATTGTATTAATGATAAATGAGATTTTGGATTTTTTCTTCTTTTCTTTGGTAAATTGTTTGAAGAATTTTGTGGCAAGTTTGTTTGTTATTTTGTAAAAACTAATTTTCTGAATGCTAAATATTTTTTTTAATGAAGTGAACTCCTTTAAAAACTAAGCTTATATTGTTTATTAATAAACATATATTTAGATTTCTGATTTTGGGCCCAGTTTTCAATTTGGTCCAAATCGGGGTCCAAAATTAAACTGTGTTTGATTTCAACATAAATTGAATAAATATAGGGTTCTTTGAAATGCTTAATCTAAACCTGTATTTCTTTTCATGATTAATAAGATAATACCACATTGAGGTCCAAAGGGTCCTAAATTAAACTTTTGTTTAATTTTATCAAAAATTGAATTCTTTGGTTCTTTGATATACTGATTCTTACAATGTTTGAGTGTTAAATCATATCTAATTTTAGAGAACTTAGTCATCACTGGGTGTTGTTATTATATTATTGATTAAAATTTGAAAATTGCTTCATATCTTATTTTAGAAAAAAATTATCCAGTTTGAGTTACTTCCCTTTGCACAGAAAATATTATGGATAAAATTAACCTGTGTTTCATTTCAACATAATTTAGATATATATAGGGTTCTTTCAAATGCTGAATCTAAACCTGTATCTAAATATTAGATTTCTGGGCCCAGCTTTCAAGTTGGTCCAAATCAGGGTCCAAAATTAAACTTTGTTTGATTCAACGAAAATTGAATTTATGGGGTTCTTTGAAATGCTGAATCTTACCATGTATTAAGGTAGATTTATGGTATACCGCCATCTTGGATTGTACAATCTCAGTACAAAATTGGTCTTGTTATTTTCCCAAATCTGCAAATTTGGAGACAGATTTGCAATTTAATGGTTAGATTGTTTATTTATGCAAAGAAAACTTGGAGATTTATTGTATTATTCAAAATATTTAAACAAATATCAAATTTTGTGTTTTTAGAATCTTTTTTTTCAAATAAGCCATGTAAGGGGAGATAACCCTTTTAGTAAAAAATATATACTGGACTGATAGGGAAATTTTTAATTTTTACTTGTAGCAAGAAAACAAGTTCGGTGACACCATTTTTTCTTTTTATTTTCTTAAAACATATTATAAAACCTATCTTCTTACAATTTATTTCAAAATTCTATCTCATAGAATTTTTTTTATGCACACAAATGTTTTTTTCATGAACAATCTAACCAAATTTAGGCAATTTTCAACGACCCATAGCTTGGAATATAGCACGGTGACCCATACTTTTTATTATATTTTTGAAAAAAGCATAGTAAAATCTTCCTTTTGGCAAAGTATAAGAAAATTCTATCTCAAAAAGTATATACTTATGATCTACCTTAAGAGATTTTTGATTGTAGGCTCCTTTATCAAATTGATCCACATTGAGGTCCAAAGGGTCCTAAATTAAACTTTTGTCTGATTTCATCAAAAATTGAATTCTTGGGTTTCTTTGATATGCTGATTCTAATATGTACTTAGATTTTGGATATTGGACCATAATAGGTAAATGTCGAATTTCAAATATTTCAGTTCTTTGACCACATTCATTTTGTGTCACAAACCTATGCTGTGTCAAATATTCAATCACAATTCAAATTCAGAGCTGTTTTAAGCTTAAATGTAGTGTCTAAACTTGCTCAACTGTTCAGGGTTCGACCTCTGCAGGAAAATCCGGTTTGCTGTCACTCTGACAGCCTCTTGTTAAAAAAATGTAAAGTTTTAGCTATTTATTGGAAAGTAGAATACTTTTGTTACACAAATATATGCTGTTTTTTTTTACACTACAGTGCACTTGCATCAGGTACTAGCATCATTAATTCATGCAAAGTTACTGAAATCTTCACAATTTAGCTTTTTCATATTAAAACTAGAATGTGAGCGTCTTTAATGACCTAATCAGTGCAAATCTTTTACATAAACTAATTGAATCGAATGATGTTAACACTTAAGTGTTTATCAAGAGTCAAAAATCTTTCATCAGATGTACTTCAAAATTTAGGCCAAAATTAGCCCTTACCGACCCTTCTCCTTTTATGCATCCGAAACGTTTTTCAGGCTGGAATTACCTTCACCATGAACACTCGAAGCCGAATATTTGATAGCCAAGGATGTTTAAGAACCAAAACAGTTAAGAGCTATATGACAAAAGAAGGACCTTAAAAACAGCCAAATCCATCTAAGGTCAACTTTGCCTAAGGGAGTTGAAACCCTAATTTCAGTATAATTAATAGCTTATTTATTTTGTTTTACGCTGTGATAAATTAATTCCTTCGGACGTCGAAGGGGCATTAAACTATAGTCCTACTCTGCCGTCCTGTCCATAATATTTTTAAAACGCGAAAAGACTGGTTGTCTGAAAGGTTTCATAATTTTTTGTATAGTTTTTAATGTGATGTCGACCATACTTTACCAACATTTGATTTTACAATTGGGTAATGATACTTTGACCATTGTTTACCTATAGTTGCCTAAGGAAGTTGTCCCTCTTGCTGAGATCGTTTGCCCTAACGCTTTCATAACTGGTAGATGTGTAGTTGGACATACTACACCACTGTTTTGATTTGATATTTGCATGAGTAATGAGACTTTTGGCATTTTTGGCCTATTGTATAATAATGATAACGTGTAAACACTACTCCTCTAAGACCATATATCGTTAAGCATTCATACTTGGTGAGAGAGTTTGGCATTATGTATAATTAACCATACTGTAATCTTTAAGAAATATTGTGAACGTTACTCTTCTTGGACCCTATTGTAGCATAACGACACCCTTTGAATGATACCGAATGAGACCGAATGCATAAAACTTTTCATACATGGTATTTCATATTTGTTTTTCGTTCATTATTTTGTACATAAATCAGGCCGTTGGTTTTCTCGTTTGAATTGTTTTACATTTGTCAATTCGGGGCCTATTATAGCTGACTATGCGGTATGGGTTTTACTCATTGTTGAAGGCCTTACGGTGACCTATAGTTGTTAATTTCTTAGTCATTTGGTCTCTTGTGTAGAGATGTCTTATTGGCAATCATACCACATCTTCTTATTTTTATATTGGTAGTATTACTATCATTATGTGAAGTTGATCTTTCTGTTCCACCAAATTGATTTGACAATTATGATACTTTTACCATTTTTGCATAAGTATACTCTTAAACGTTTTGCATTCTTCTTTTCTTGGATTTGCTGAATAATTTGATCACCACACATTGTAATCTTAGATAACATATTTTTATAAAAAAAAAAGTACAAGAGACCCTCAATTCTCAAAATGACCATATAATTTCCATAGAAATGGCAACAATAAGGGGGATAAATTACAAAATAACACTCTATTTTTCTTTTGTGTATCATTTAACACACCTTAAATCAATAATTGTTATTATTTTAACTATTCCACGTTTGTATTCGTACGACTTTCATATTTAGGTGCACACCTGTTTCATTGTTAATAACCCTTATAAAAACAAGAAGATGTGGTTTGATTGCCAATGAGATAACTCACCACCAGAGACTAAATTATGTAAAAGTTTCATATCTGAGAATTTAAGTGCCAATCTGCCTAAGAACCAGGCAGTGGTGAAAACATGACAAACAAAAACCCACTGAACTTTACATTAATCTCTGTTCAGTATGTATAATGGTGAATGAATATATCATTTGTTTCCTTTTCCTGTTCTGGTAATTCAAGATATAATTTGGTTGAAATGCACTGCAAATTAACAATTAATGGGAGATAACTCCTTAATTTGCTATCATTCTAACCAAAATTTATCTAGATATTTCTTGAATTACCAGACTCGCACAAACGAAAGACCTACCATTTCTGACTCAGGATGAGGGTACCTTCAAAATAGGGTGGTTAGGTCGGTGGGTTTTTTTTCGGCCATGTTTTGAAATTTTTCTAAATTGCCTGATTCTTACAAAGACTGGCACTTAAATACTGGTATAAGAAATACATGCCTTTTATTTTAACTGATTATTGACATTGGAAACTAGCATTATATGAAATTTTAATAAAGAATCCTTATTACAGTTTTAACGACGTGTAAATAAAATGTATGTTTTGCCTATTTGAGTAAACATCATCCACCCTAATACAGGATTAACAAGACCCCCCCCCCCCCCCCTGTTGTCCTCCTGTATCTCTTAGCGTAAATCAAATTCTAATCTCACAAAGATTACTTGTGGATCTGATTTTTAAATTTCTCAGATCTTATTAATAATATCTGTAATTTTGTATATACTTACGTTGTCAGAAAGGTCCCTTTGAAACATCTGGTGCTTCAGTGTCGTTTGTTTATAAATACGTTGAATCGATCAATGACGTATTAAGTTTACTATGTAAAGGTTAAAATACAAACTACTTTTAATGATTTAACTTGTATTAATTCAAAGATTTTAGTTACGGTCGAATCCTGTGTCTCCTATTATAAAGGTCGGCTGTACGATGTGTAAATAATGCTTCTCTCTCTTTTTCAGGTGTTCTTTTGGGTCCCTTTCTACGACAACAAATTAAACAAAGCGAGACTGGAACTGATCAAACATTACACTGATTTAGCTATTTCAGAACAAAAGGTCAACTCTTTAAATGATCCACCAATACTGGAAAACAGTGAACAACATAACACCAATACTCAATCACATACACCTCATATGGGTGAAGTTGATACTCCTCAGGATGGTGCTATCATGGGCAATGCAACTGAGAGCCCATATGGAGGTGCTGATAAGGAAATTCCTGAAATTATCACAGACTCATAGCAGAAGAAATTTTGAAATTTGAAATTACCTAATATTTATATATTTTTCAATTAATTTTTTTATTTACAAGAAAAAATTATAATATTATAAAACCCTCTTGAGAATATAACAATTGGTTGGTTGTGATCATTGTGCAATCAGGATAACTGGACTATAATATTAAGTATTTGATGTGCCGATTGTATTTGTGTGCTTTGAAGCGATTCAAATTTCGAGTCGACCAAAGACGTTCGGGCTCATGGTATCTTTTCAACGAATCGATTCTTATTCAATGTATCTCTTATACTTATATATAATACCCAAATTCCTGAAAGTACAAACCACTAACAAAAAACTCCAGATAGCTACTGACGAGATTCCTTTCTTGGGATGGGTACATTTATCAAGTTTTTAGATTATGCTATTTCTTGTTTGAATAACAATTGGTTAGTTGTGATCACTGAACAACCCTCCCTAAATAATCGTTAGCAGTTCTATAACAAACAACACACAGATGAACGTAAAATAAACACCAACACTTTACTATGCACATTCGGTATTAAAGTTAGAAAAAAAGATATGATACCGAATTCCGTGTGCTTTGGAACAAAACTAAAAAAAAAACTATATCAAAGAATCGTCGTAGTAACTGAAAGTAAACCAAAGTACTTTTTAAGAAGATATTTTAACGAAAGCGTTATCGAGTACATGTACGCGTTGATATATTGCAAAATAACTTGTATTGTTATGATTCATATTTATGAATTTGTCTCCGCAACCGGTCTGCTACTTTTTTCATTGCCATATAACTTGTTTTACGTCAATTCGGTATCCTTCGTCTGCAAAACTTCTATTATAATTGAATTTAAAAACCCTTAATACGTTGTAACCAAGTCAGGAATATGACAGTTGTTTTCCGTTCGTTTGATGTGTTTGAGCTTTTGATTTTGCCATTTGATAAAGAACTTTCCATTTTGAATTTTCCTTGGAGTTCGGTATTTTCGTTATTTTACTTTTTCGAACCACTTCATTTTATTGTTATGCCCCCGCCGTCAACGAAGCAGGCATTAAATGTTGCCCTTGTCCGTCCGAACGTCCGTACATACATCCCAATATTGGTTTCCGTTCTCTAGCTTTAGTTTGCCTCAGCCAAATGTTATGAAACTTATATGTAATGCTTATTACCACAAAATACTGATCATGTTCCGTTCTCGAGTTATGCTCCTTTATAATGTTATATGCAACCGGTGCATCATATGTGTCCCATGGACACATTCTCCATTTATTTTTAAAGCTTTCAGACTTTTAAACATGAGAATGGGCTAGGATGAAATTTGAAATAAAAGGCAGGACAGGAGTTTTGAGTAAAAAAAAAAGGCAGGATGGGCAACTTGGCAAAAAAAAAAAGGCAGGATGACAATGTTTGTAAAAAAAGTCAGGATAAACTAATAAAAAAAGGCAGGACCGAATAGAGTGAAAAATAAAAAGGCATGACAGAGATTACAACTGAAAAAAAAGGCAGGACAAAATTTTTCATCCTAGCCCCCCCCCCATAAAAATCAAATGGTAGCTCCCTAAATGATAATTAAAAGGGATGTCAGAAATCAAAAACACATTGGACAGTACAGCAGACCACACCACCTCAAAACACCTACAAACAAAGACAAGCAAAAAGTAATTGCAAAACGTACAGATAACATGATTTTTTAGAGGTACAACATGCACTGTTGTCAAGCCTACGTGTACACAAACCTCTTTTTGCCTATCTCGAACGTATGGTATGTCGTAACAGTACAGTTTAGCTACCAACAGGATGATCAATAACATAAACTAGAGGCTCTCAAGAGCCTGTGTCACTCACCTGATTCTACTTTGGTTTTGGAAATCATGAAAAAATAGATTAAAATCATAACAGATACCCTAATAATGAGTGAGGCCAAATTTGGTTTAATATTGGTCCTTTAATTTAATAAAAAAATCCTGGTGGCCATCTTGAACAGTAAATCGGCAACAAAGTAGCAACACTTAATTGTATGTATTTCCCATAGGGTCCTATGTTAAACTAAGTCCCCCGCTGGCTGCCATCTTGGATAATGGATCAGCTTCAAAGTAACAACACTTGGTCAGCACCTCATAAGGAACATTCATGCCATATTTGGTTTCAATCCATTCAGTATGTGGTTCTCTAAAAGAAGACATTTGTATGTATTGTCCATAGGGTCCTTTGTTAAACATTGTCCCCATCTGGCAGCCATCATGGATGAAGGATCAGCTTCAAAGTAACAACACTTGGTCAGCACCTCAAAAGGAACATGCATGCCATGTTTGGTTTCATTCCATTCAATGGTTCTCTAAAAGAAAACATTTGTACGTATTTCTCATAGGGTCCTATGTTAAACTAAGTCCTCCGCTGGCGGCCATCTTAGATTATGGATCGGCTTCATAGTAACAACACTTGGTTAGCACCTCATTAGGAACATTCATGCCATGTTTGGTTTCATTGCATTCAGTGGTTCTCTAAAAGAAGACATTTGTATGTATTTCCCATAGGGTCCTATGTTAAACTAAGTCCCCCGCTGGCTGCCATCTTGGATAATGGATCAGCTTCAAAGTAACAACACTTGGTCAGCACCTCATAAGGAACATTCTTGCCATGTTTGGTTTCATTCCATTCAGTGGTTCTCTAAAAGAAGACGTTTGTATGTATTTCCCATAAGGTCCCCTGTTAAACTAAGTCCCCCGCTGGCGGCCATCTTGGATTATGGATCGGCTTCAAAGTAACAACACTCGGTCAGCACCTCATAAGGAACATTCATGCCATGTTTGGTTTCATTGCATTCAGTGGTTCTCTAAAAGAAGACATTTGTATGTATTTCCCATAGGGTCCTATGTTAAACTAAGTCCCCCGCTGGCTGCCATCTTGGATGATGGATCAGCTTCAAAGTAACAACACTTGGTCAGCACCTCATAAGGAACATTCTTGCCATGTTTGGTTTCATTCCATTCAGTGGTTCTATAAAAGAAGACGTTAGACTCGGACTTCTCTTGAACTGAATTTTAATGTGCGTATTGTTATGCGTTTACTTTTCTACATTGGCTAGAGGTGTAGGGGGAGGGTTGAGATCTCATAAACATGTTTAACCCCGCCGCATTTTTGCGCTTGTCCCAAGTCAGGAGCCTCTAGCCTTTGTTAGTCTTGTATTATTTTTAATTTTAGTTTCTTGTGTACAATTTGGAGTTTAGTATGGCGTTCATTATCACTGAACTAGTATATATATTTGTTTAGGGGCCAGCTGAAGGACGCCTCCGGGTGCGGGAATTTCTCGCTGCATTGAAGACCTGTTGGTGGCCTTCTGCTGTTGTCGGTTCTGTGGTCGGGTTGTTGTCTCTTTGACACATTCCCCATTTCCATTCTCAATTTTAGTTTGTATGTATTTCCCATAAGGTCCCCTGTTAAACTAAGTCCCCCGCTGGCGGCCATCTTGGATTATGGATCGGCTTCAAAGTAACAACACTCGGTCATCACCTCATAAGAAACATTCATGCCATGTTTGGTTTCATTCCATTCAGTGGTTCTCTAAAAGAAGACATTTGTATGTATTTCTCATAGGGTCCCATGTTAAACTATGTCCCCTGCAGGCGGCCATCTTGGATTATGGATCGGCTTCAAAGTAACAACACTTGGTCAGCACCTCATAAGAAACATTCATGCCATGTTTGGTTTCATTCCATTCAGTGGTTCTCTAAAAGAAGACATTTGTATGTATTTCCCATAGGGTCCCATGTTAAACTAAGTCCCCCGCTGGCGGCCATCTTGGATTATGGATCGGCTTCAAAGTAACAACACTCGGTCAGCACTTCATAAGGAACATTCATACCATGTTTGGTTTCATTCCATTCAGTGGTTCTCTAAAAGAAGACATTTGTATGTATTTCTCATAGGGTCCTATGTTAAACTAAGTCCCCCGCTGGCGGCCATCTTGGATTATGGATCGGCTTCAAAGTAACAACATTCGGTCAGCACCTCATAAGAAACATTCATGCCATGTTTGGTTTCATTCCATTCAGTGGTTCTCTAAAAGAAGACATTTGTATGTATTTCCCATAGGGTCCTATGTTAAACTAAGTCCCCCGCTGGCGGCCATCTTGGATGATGGATCCGCTACAAAGTAACAACACTTGGTCAGCACCTCATAAGGAACATGCATGCCATGTTTGGTTTCATTCCATTCAGTGGTTCAGGTGAGCTAAAAAGGGCAAAATGAGGGGAAATAATTTGGAAAGTAGGGTATAAATGTGATCGCTATATATGGTAGCCACAGCTGTTGGTTGAAAATAACTGAAAAAGAAAACAAAAAAAAATCAGATAAATATGATTTGTCTCTTCCTGAAAGTAGATATTCGTATACTGGTTTTGCCAAAATATAGACAAGTTGAATTATTAATCTATCATTAATGACACTGCAAATTCTTCTTCTTAATCTATTAATGATTACTGTCATTTTATATAAATGTCTCGATGTATATGTTTTTGCAGTTACATAGGGAAGTTGTCATTTATACAGAAATTACACACTATTCAAAAGTGTGACCCATTATGCTATATGCCAGGATTTGAAAGTAAAAAACGTGTGCGTAAGCAACAGACAATGCTAAAATATGTGACTTCAAATTCTTCTCTTTATCAAACACAAACAGATGAACAGAAAAGAAAAGAAATAATACTGATCTATCATCGACAAAACAACCAACATTTCCTAAAGGGAAATTTCAACAAATGTTATTTCCTCTCAAAATATATACATTCTATAAAAAATATAAAGTTTACAATAAATAAATGCAAATTAATCAATCAAATATTTAAGGAATGAATTATTAGAGAGGTATATCTAAAATACAAAATACTGTTAAGAAAAATTTGGCAACTAATACATCGTACATTTCGTGAAGTACTACCAGTATCTTTAGGCACCATTTAGTTATACAATCAGCCTCTGTATCTTTAACGTGTTTGAGGACGAAATGTATTGAATAAAGAGAGTTTATAGTCATCCAGATACGTTTTCGTTATATATATGGTGTTCTTCGAACATTTTCTAACATTTGAACAAAATTACCTAGCAAATTATTGTTCACTAATTC